ACAGCTCGGTATGATAGACAAGAAAGGAATTATTCAGATAAAACGAGGAGCTGAATAAACTGCACGAGTTCCGTGTGTGAAAAACAACATTATGCGTGAGTAAAAAAAATATTCCCATGCTTCTGATAACTGAAAAATGGATACGAAACTGAATAAAGAAAGAGGGAATACAATGGGAATAATGAGAATAGCATACGTGAGAAGCAAGAGTCCTTTATAACGGAATAGAAGAGTTGATGAATGATAGAAGAATTATTGAATAATATACGACTGCTTGTGGCCATACTGGGATAGATAAAAACTTTTATCTGAACGAGACTGCATTATACATATATATGCGTTAGAATACTTCGGCGAGCAACTACCAATAAATTTTAAGATGATTTAATTGTGTAGGTTAAAATTTGATGCTTTGTTTTTCCATGAAGATTATATAGAAAAAGTTCCTATTCTCTTTGTAGTTTTATTTTCTAGTTATAAGCTGATACAAATAGTCAAATCTATATTTCAAAAATCGAAAGACTGTCAATAAACTCATTAAAAAGTTAATTTAACAAAATTTTACATATTATATGTGTCAAAACGTATTTTTTTAAGTCGTGAAACGAAGGATACATTTTAATCTGACGGAGGATGCATTTTAATTTTTAAATAAACCTAAATTTCAAAAAAACGATGAATTAAGGTCAATTTGTTCCTCATTTATTCTCTAAATTTTCACGAAAATTGAGTTTATGAAAATAGTTGAGCATGTACTCTACGATGTAAACTTGAATTCAATTCAAATCTCATCAATATTCCGCTCTTTCGATTGCTCTGCAAGCTCATCATGATATACGGTTATTCGATAATATCGACACCTGTTCTTCCTACGTTCGACATCCATGATCGCAACCTATTTTTCTCGTTGAATATCTGCATTCGATGTTCTCGATATCTATTTGCTTTCGATGATATCGATGACTTATTCGTCCTTTCGATGTTCCCGATTCATACTAGCATCCGACTATATCGATACCAATTAGCATTCGATGATATCAATGAATATATTTATTGAATATATACCTATTTTCCATTCGAGGATGAAGATACCCATATCCTTTCGAACTTCTCGATAACAATTTACCTTTCGATGATATCTGTTAATATTTCCCTTTTTTCGTACGAAGACCTTAATACTTAGCTCATTAATTCTTTTAATGGTAATTTCAAATAAGGCCCGCGAATTTTCATAGAAGGTTTTTGTTGCGGCATCGAAAATCGATTGATCGATTCGCCCTCGCCAGCGCGCAGGAAACTTTCTGGCGCATCACGAGGGTCGGGCTGAGTTTTTCCTGACCGGAAATTCGACGAGGGAAGGTCTTATCTTATTTTATCACTCAATAACTGATAAATTAACGTATGTAGGAGTATAATATTATTTGTGATTATTAAAAAGCGAATAAAATAATTTTTAATGTTATATTGCGTCAACTTTGGGAGTTAAAAGATATAAATTCCCAGGACTTATTCATATATATGATTGCAATGTAGAGTAAACCTAAATAATTTATAAAATACAAAAAAATAATTCCACAGTTGAATTAGTTTTCCTTTACGCAACAGAGAGGAAAAATATTAATTTAATTTTAGTTCTTCTTAGCTCCTTAGATTCTTTATGTATTATATAATGAAGAAACGTCCTTAAAATATTTGTTGAATATTTTTTCAATAAATAGATTTTGCAAGCAATAATTAATTTGGTTAATAAACTCCAATAGAAAACTATTCAAAATTCATGGTTTCTGACGGAAAGTTTCCGATTTTAAGTTAGTTCATACAAATTTGTAAAAATTTGACATTTTTCTCAGTTTCCAAAACGAAAGTGAGAGAAATATTTGCATTTATAACGCATAATTTACAACAATCTTGTCTCAGTTCAAATTTTATGGATGGTGTTGTAGTATTTAGACCTAATATTGGCACGTACAGAACGTATTGATGAGCCAGCCATACAAAACGTACAACGGGTACAGATGGGACGAATAATAACTATACCGGGATGTACGAAACGTAAAGAATAGCAGGGACGAACAAAAAGTATTTGGGGAACACAAAAAATGTTAAGCTGGGCAGTGAAGAATGTATATAGCGGAGCCGTATATAACTTACAGAGTGACGTGCAGAACGTATAACGGGGACATACAAAACCTATAGCGGGACGTACAGGATGAATAACGGTGACTTACATATCTAAAGCGAAGACGGATAGAACGTATAGCTGCGACGTACAGAACGTTAAACGGATGAAGACATTCAGGCGCGATCGGTAAATCTCTGCGTGTCCGATGCTACTGCTTCAGAGGATTTATGTCCTCTATTTACGGTCGATAAAACCTCTCACTCCTCCTTTTTCACCGATAAGAATCGAGCAGCTAGTTTAGTCCGTCAAACTACGAGGCATCTAGTTTACTAGGAAAACAGGAAAGCTCGTTAATAGCTCGTCAAAAGTCATGCAGCTGCGCTATCGGAAATATTATTTAGTCTCTCTTGATAGTGCAGATATTTAGTCTTTCTGCCTGAGGGCTTTTTAGCTAAATCTACAAATCACAGACGATAAATCGGTCCCTCCGTGTACCCAGATCGATGCGTGTAATCAATATAGTTTTGAAAGTACAGCTCCTGATCTCTAGATATTCACGCCCAATGTTCTTCATATCACACTGCTGTGTCCTTTTTAACACTATTATCAGGATGAAAATATGTATAATAATCCATAGACAGGAACATCATTTACCCTATGTTTTTATTGGTCATAATTTGCACATGTGGGTCATACTTTACACATGAGGGCCACACATTACACATTTAACTGTGCTTATTATCTTAATTTTATCTCAGACGCAAATCGACGTAACAAAACTTGAAATAATTTAATAAAAACTTCCGAATAGATTAATGTGTCGCACTTCAACTGATATGGAATTTTGTAATTTATAAATCCCTTCACAATATTGAATGTTTCGGAGGCATTAAAGTCACTCGTTTGAGCTGAGTCCCACATCGAGACTCCCCTTAAATGTTTTTAAATAAAATGTAATAATAATAATTAAAGCATGGTTCTTTGTTAAAAACAAAGATAACCGTACATAAAATAATTGCACCGCTTTGTTATTAGAACTCTTTATTAATTGTTGAAGGGAACCGCATATATAAAGTTTCTTGGGACAATTGGTGCTCTCAGTGAGCAGCTGTAAAAGGGTTCTCTTACTGATAGGTTGCGATAAATTAATTGAAATACTTTAATATTCACAATTTCATCTTCAATGCTTTACATAATATGCAACATTGATCTACCACGTGAAAAGTTTAAAAATAAGTTACGTTCATAAGATTTGCTGTCGACTCTAATTCCGCCCTAACGATTCCTCAAACTGCTTCTCTAAAAATATTCCTGCCTGTATAGAGCCTAAATAATTTAAAATCAAAAATAATATAGAAACGCAGGATATTTCTGGGGTGCCTGCTTTCTATTTTATGACCCCATCACAAACCGCCGCATTTATTCCGATTTTCTTCGAGAAAATATTACCTACGAACATTTCTGGCTATTCTAATTTTTTATTTTTTTACATTTTTTCAATTTCTACATTTTATTCTATTTTATGAAATTTTATTCTATTATATTATACATTGCTTATTATATTTTATTCTATTATTTATTTATTCATTCCATCTTTACATTTTTAAGCGGCTCACAAATGTGATATTATTGCTCAAAAAAGAACATATTAAAAAAATTCTTCTCTTAAGAGTTTTTAATTTAACCGTGATGGACATCTGAGGCTGTTGAAATATATTTTAAACTACTATATTTAAAACTATTTGAAAAACTAACATATGTTTCAATTTTTCTCCCAAAAAGCTCATACCATTGCAATTATGCATTTGACTTTTAAGACGGATCATTTACGATCATTCATTAACTTTGCTTCATCAACATGATTCAATTTTCATCTTCAATGAGCTTTTTAATTTTAAAAATGTAAATCATTTACACTACCTCTGAAATTTTTTTAATGCTTTGATTCTGGACAAAATGACCAATTCATTAAAATGGACTTCATATAATAGTAAAATGCTCCTTTACAATTGAGAATATTTTGCAAAATTTTTCTGCGGACACCTCAATCTAACTCCGGCCATCAGATAAAAGTTTCCTCATAGACCTCACTGCCAGCCATCACTGCTAGCCCTCACTGCGGTAGTTTACGCTACCACGTATATTGGTCAATGCTATTGAGGTCTCCGGCGGAGTTCGTTGTTGTAATGCTTTTTGTTTTACGGGAAAATTTTGATTTTTAATAAAGTTATTTTAGTAATTTTGATTAGAATGAACATTTTTTGATGAGTGCATTATACTCAGTGTTTTCCTTTGTCTGAAATAATATGAATGGAATAAATGCTACTGTCTTTCGTAAATACAATTATTGTCATCATGTTATAACCCATGCCAGGTTCTTCTCCATTTCAATTTTTGTCAGTATCTTATTAATGAGTAACGCCTTATTAGTTCCATTATAATAGAGACGACAGATATCGTATGAGTCACGTTTTTGATCTCAGGGGATAACTTTACATGGTACAGGCATAAAAAATGCATGGATCTTTTTATCCAAATTGTGACACGCTTTCTGTAGGTAAAACTGATACACCATTTTTCCGGTTTAAACTGGATGACCTAAACATTTGCAAAAAGTGGGTTGCTAATTGGAGAAAGTCTAAATTTATCGGAGTGTAATGTATGTATGAGCTGATATATATAAGAAAAATTTTAGTTTGTGACAAGCTCCAGTTTACATCTCTCTTTTTCATCCCTGAATTCCTTACAGAATGCTGGAATGTGGGATGCAGTAACATTATATATTTTTACATATATTATTATATTAGTAGTTGGAAAAATATATTTGGTATATATATATATTTTCTGATAACACAGTATATTTTCGAATTTATCACAGTTCTGGGACGACTACAAGCTGCAGTGGAACCCTGAGGAGTATGGAGGAGTTGAAATGCTGCACGTGCCCTCCGACCACATCTGGAGGCCTGACATTGTGCTCTATAACAAGTGAGAAGACCAAGCGTGCAAGCTACGGTCTAATTCAATTAATTATTTAATAATCAATTATTAGTATTGATTGATCGTGTAAAAATATTTAATTATCATGATAATTATTCCGTAAAAATGAACGTAGTAAATGGTTTAATAACGCAATTTCCTAGATATACGTATACGTTTAATCGGATTAACAAAAATTGGTTTAACATAGTTTGAACGTCCATTTAAGAAACGAATCTTGATTATTCAGAGTGGCTGTACAATTATTTTTTTATTATCATTTTTTTCACAAATCGACAAAAAAATATTGTTTCGAAAAATGTAATTCTATGATGGGCAGGGCACAGAATTTGTCACCGATATTCTTATTATTTCAGTCATGAAATTTTACTCAAATTAAAAAAATTTGAAACGATTGGACCTAGAAACGGAATAGAATTCGTTTGAAATGTCATGAAAAAATTCATGAAAAAATCCTACGGGTTTGATGATTCAACTTTGTTGCGATTTTCGATTGAGTTATTTCACTTGCGTAGGAGGTGCAGCAGGAAGATCATGAAAATATGGAAAATAACTCTTCATCATCGCCAATTTAATATTTTTTAAAACAATTTTAATCGAACTAAATTAATAAAACAAAGTTATTCAGGCAAACAGACTAGATTGGATGCACAAATTTTCAAGCTTACTAAGTTGGTAGCATAATTATTAGTTGGTGAATTGTTCGAAAATTGCAATCGAATGCAATTGGTCCGTTTATATTATTTGTAAAGTCTTTCTACTTCCTTAACTCTAATAGTAAATAGTACGAGTATTAACACATGCATATATTAATTAAACTACCAATTTGACTGTTTCCGTGCATCGTTTGGGTTCACTGAACCAAATATCATGTGCTGCAATCCTCATGTCAATTGGCAAAACAATAATGATGTGCATGTTACTACATTTATTACATCAAAATTGCCGATAACATGAAGCGTGGGAATGTTTAACGACTAAAATAATTCGTTGAAGGTTACGGCCTTTGATTAACGCAAGGCTCTAATAATTTTCAATCTAAAGGACTAGTAGCAAGGGCTATGTACTTTGCCTGGGCAGTGAAATTTCTCGTCGGGCCCAAATTTAAAGTTATCAAGTAGTACGGCATTCAGGCAAACCTACAATTTTGTTGAATCGCAGCTTCATTCAATATTAATCCGAACAAAGCGTCAAGGAACTTTTGTAGTATGAATTTGCAGCGATTTTCCAAAATAAGTGATAGTTAATGTAGAGTACCGGTACGTCAGTCCTTCATTTCGTTATTCGTCAAATTGCATGGCGAAGTGAAATTAAAAAAGATGAATTTTAATTCACTACCTCGTCTCCCAATGAAAATTCGTAAAATTTAAGCAGCGAAGCAATCCAGTCACACTCAGTTTCTGGTAGCAAAGAGTATTAAACCATCACGAAACTAATCACAGTTTTGTTTGCCATTCGACTCTAATTAAACTTTCGTAACAAGTTCGTATTTATATAGATTTGAGATGGAGACAATTTTTCTTGAGATACTTTTATTCGCGCGAGCAAATCTCTTCCATTCAATAAAAGTTATCCGAGATGACATTTTCTCATGAGGCAGAATTGTTTGGGTGATCAAGTTAGCAGCAAGAGAATTGTTCGTGATGAGGTTCTTTAGGAGAAAAGTTCTTCGTGATTAGGTCATGGATCATGAAACTTCTTCGTGATGAAGCATAGAATGACGAAAGTTGTTCGTGACGAAGCAAGGGAAGTTTTAATATTGTTCGAGGTGACTCTTGTAGCATACAAGTTGCTAGAAATGTCGTATTATGTCAGAATCAAGAGCCATGAACATAATCCTCAGCTCATGACTTGGAACACAGAGTTGAAATTGACCCTGATGCGACCCTAAAATCGCCCTGACAATGATCCCGCGAAACAATTAAGATAATGTCAAGACATTATATTATTCTGATATTATTATTCAGGTATTCTTATTCCGGTGACGTGACATAATTGTGTTGATTAAAGTGCTTATTTGTGGTCGCCGCTGTCAGGGTCTCAGCTGTATATATGTAATTAAGGTATAGTACGTAATAAAGGGATAGTACGTAATTATCTGCCAAATTAAGCGATAACTAAAGTTTTAAGTACCTGTAACGTGTTCAAAGTTTGTTGCTAAAAGCATAGAATTCAACTAACGCCACTCATTACAAGCTTATGAATCGTTCATAAAACCCATGCAAATGACTTTTCCTTATTCATATAAATTTGACAAGTTTAGACAAGCAGTTATCTTTAAGATGAGAACTGGCGCAGATACAGACAATTTCCTTTAAATTAAATTAAGGGAAGAAGGATGTTGATTTTCATCGAATTAATCTTAAATTGATGAGCAACTGGTAAAATGTCATGACAATTAATTTGTGATGAGAAGTACTCGTCACAGTGTAATTAGAATTACCTCTTGGTAACATAAGAGAATAAATAATTGGAATTGACAAATTTTCGCGAATTTGAAGTTGATCGAAAAAGTAGAACGTTTTGTTATTAATTCAAAACTAGTTATTATATTAATCCTTTATTCTTGAAGTCATGAACTAATGGTGAATGTTGGAGTTGGTCTCTGAAACGTTTTCACTTTGTTACGTTTTCGTTTAAAATTCTTAGTTAATAGGAGATTTGGGCAAAATAGCGATGTAAATACTTGATCAATTTCTAAAGGAAATTTTAGCGGCAGTTAAATATCGACAGAAATTCGTTAAAACATTTCAGAGAATTGCAATATATGTAAATAATGGTAGAAATTTGGGTTAGAAGTGTCTGCATGTAAATGACCTGAAAACGGATTTGAATGCATTAGAAGCATGTTCTTTTCAAATTCCATCCAATACTTTACCGCAGAAGGATCATGACGTTATGTAGAAAATGTTATATTTAATTGAGATCGATTCGATCCAGAAGAAACTGCCATTTATTTCACATAATTACGAGTAGTTAGACACATGATTTACATGAAATAAGTTGGACAAAGATGTCTGTTGATAACAGGTCGAATAAAATGTGCTACAAAAAGTTCATGAACTTTCATCTCTTGTATTGTAACGAATAAAATATTTGCACAATATAACAATACTTTAGTTAACTCCTTTGTAAATAATCCCTTTGATGATTATATACTTAGGTTAGTTCCGAATAGCAAAGGAACAAGCTGTGTTGTGATGCTTTTCAACTGGGTTCTGCGAACCAATAAAACAACATGGAATAAGGAAGTACAAAAAAATCATAAAATCGCGTAGTTTTTACATTAAGTAAACCGTCTACATTAAAAGTATGAGGAATTAAATTAATCAATTAGGAATTAAATCACCAAGTAACTGGAGGTTCGTAATACTTTTAAATAACTCAGCTGACAGACAAATCTCTTTTAATCAAGCCCGCCCAGGTAAACTCTGTCTGTACACGGCAACTCTGAAGTAATAAGGAATGTTTCACTTTAACATCCTTATTCTAATAGCATATTATTGATACAATGTTTCATTAGAATTTTACAGATTAAATAGCGTCTTGACGAAGTCAATGTTTGAAGGTACAAATTCGAATTTCTCTGAAACGCAAGCATGGCAGTGCATACATGCAGCATACCAAGTCTTAAATTTAGCAATTGACAGATTTTTATTCATTTACTTACAATTTATTCATGGGGATATCCATCATCATTCCTACAACTCGCATTCAAATAGAAATGTGCAGGTTTTCAGTGAGCCACATCTGTTGCCGGAGTAAATGTTTAAGCTTCAGCGAGTTAGAGAGAAGTTTGAATCTTGAGTGACTTCAACCTGACAATCATGCTATGCTTATCCTACGTGATCAATTAATATTGTAAAATGGTTAATCAGTGATTCGATATAGTATTAATTCAACATTTAAAAGCAACAAACATGATAAGAATATTCGTTCAGCAAATGTGCAGGAAACATTTTTTGCGGATCCGCAGCTCCCTCATAAGTTACATGAAACAGACACGTGAGTAACACAATCTTTATGCTGAATTTTGACAAGTAAAATGGATAATTCAGCGATGACACCAGAAGGAATAAATTGTTACAAATGATAAAAAGAAGTGAACGGTTTTCGAAGTTATCAACGACAAGAGACTGCCATTCAAAATCATTGCGGCGAAAATATGCAATGCTGATTAATGATCAAGGGGCCTAATTCGAAGGTGAAAATTAGATGTTATGATATGAATAATTCATTTGCCAGTAATATGAATCCCGCATGATGCTCAGATACATAATACATACGTTGCGTGAATTCATACAGACGAACGCGCATGCACACAAGGACAGAATAAATTCCTTGTACACACTATTCATTATTATTTAAACAACATAAAATATTCCGTATACACAGTTTAAACTTGGTATTTGATGATTTTCAAAATTTAAGTACATTTTTTCATTGAAAAAGGATTGAACTATAATGAACAGTCATACATAGGTGATTTTCATCTAGGCATTTTGTAGAAAACGACTGCCGTCTCTGAGCAAACGCCTCTCCACTTTTCACTTTCCCTTTGATTTATGTGGAGCAAAATGTGATATGTTATTAAATTTACAGTGATAAAGTATTAAACTTAGAGTGAGTTATTAAAGTTATCACTCTGTTAATGATAACTTGAAAGTTAATACGGCAGAACCGAAGGCTAGCAGCTTGACGTGTGTCACTCGCATGGCTGTAGTAGAGCAGCTTTAAGGACGTCTTGTTCACCAGTGCCCTGAACGCCATTTAATACTACGCTATAACGTCGTACACTTTCTTACGTACGCGTATCATTTTACACGAAAACTAAATGAGATTAAACTTAACATGAAATCGAGCGGTGATGATGATATAATTTTTATGAATTGAAAGTGTTCATAGAAATTATAGGGATAAATTTCATGTTATAGATTTATGTCTCGTTCTCATTCAGTTAAAAAGATGGTGAATAAATTTAACTTAATTTTTAATTTTTGATTTAAAGTCAACTGATTCAATGTAATAAATTCAAATTTTGTTTCGAATATCGAGCAAGAGTAAAGATCGTCATTTTATAATATAGAAAATAGTCTTCAGAAATATTCACCATTTTAATCATTACGGATCACCATTAATTTTTAAGTGTTACTTTGAGATGTACGCGTGCTAAAGTTATAATAAATTTTCTTCTCAGTTGGTCAACAGTCAGTACGTGAAAAAGTGCAATCAATAAATGCAAATGTCAACAGTAAGCATTGGAATTATTCACAGAAATACTGATATATAATTTTTAGATAAAGATTTCTTCAAAGCCTGTGTATCATCAGAGTACATCCATTATTCATTAGTTTCGGTAGTAGTATCAATTATCTATCTAGGTAAAGCATATTAAAAATGCCTTAAATAAGTGGAAAAACTTGATTTTTATATGATTCCAAAATGGACGAGTCGTCCAAATTACTAAGTTGGTGCATTCACTTTTAATTTAATAAGTTGGTGCAATCACATTTAGCTTACTAAGTTGTTGCCTTCGCAGCTACCTTACTAAGTTAGAGCTTGTACGTCTAACTCACTAAGTTGGTGCCTTCACATTCAACTTACTAAGTTGGAACCTTCTCATCCATCATATTAAGTTGATGCTTGGACATCCAACTCACTCAGGCACTAAGTTTTTGCTGGGACATCCAACTCACTCAGGCACTAAGTTGTTGCCTGGACATCCAACTCACTCAGGCACTAAGTTGTTGCCTGGACATCCAACTCACTCAGGCACTAAGTTGGTGCCTTCACACCCAACTTACTGAAGCGCTAAGTTGGTTTTCACCCTCAGCGCCGACGGGAACTTCGAGGTGACGCTGTCGACCAAAGCGACGCTCAACTACAAGGGCTTCGTCGAGTGGAAGCCGCCCGCCATCTACAAGTCGAGCTGTGAGATCGACGTCGAGTATTTTCCTTTCGACGAACAAACTTGCGTCATGAAGTTCGGGTCCTGGACTTACGACGGCTTTCAGGTGAGGCCTGGTGAAATGCGAGGCGGGGACTTTCCTGCGCAATATAAGTGCCAGAGGGCGTATCAGTGCCGATTGGGGGCATATCAGAGCCGATTGGGGTCATATCAGTGCCGATTGGGGGCATATCAGTGGCGATTGTGGGCATATCAGTGTCGATTGGAGGGCATATCAGTGTCGATTGAGGGCATATCAGTGCTGATTGGGGGCATATTAGTGCCGATTGGAGGGCATATCAGTGTCGATTGGGGGCATATCAGTGGCGATTGTGGGCATATCAGTGCCGATTGGAGGGCATATCAGTACCGATTGAGGGCATATCAGTGCTTATTGGGGACATATCAGTGCCGATTGGGGGCATATCACTGCCAGGGGCATATTAGTGACATTGGGTGGCATATCAGTGCCAATGGCCAGATGGTGGCATATCAGTGCCAGTGAGTGGCATATCAGTGCCAATGAGTGGCATATCAGTGCCAGTGAGTGGCATATCAGTGCCAATGTGTCATATCAGTGCCAGTGAGTAGCATATCAGTGCCAGTGGTGGTATATCAGTGCCAGTGAAAGGCATATCAGTGCCAGTGTGGCATATCAGTTCCAGTGAGTGGCATATAAAGGGCCATCTTTTGTCCACGTACGATACGGCTGATGTCCTTGTTAAGGAAGTCATCCAGTATCTTGAACCCGAGACTCGCTTCACGAACTTCATATTTATGATATTTTAAGACTTGAAAATCTTTTCTTCGAAATCTTCAAACATAAACTTTGAAGCCGCGGACTGCTATGCCTTGCTCTGCAAGTTAACGAAGCTTGTTTGGGAATGTCTAAATAAAAGAAAATAATAATAGAAAAACTATTTTTAAAAGTTAAAAATAATAATAAAATAAATAAAAAATATAAAATGCTTCATTTGAAGAAAATAACTGAGTTATCCTGAAAAATTCAGTTAACGTTCTGTAACTGACGTTCAGTAAAAAATAAATAGTGAATCCTGAAATGAAATTTCTATACTTCTGAATGAAAAGGGGCAATTTCATTACTATTTCTTCCATACTAATTGCTTGAAGTACAGATGGAAAATGCAATAATATGATTCGACACATCGACCTGATTAGGATTTTATGTTTTTTGTTATTCTTCATTTCTTTATTACATACCAACTCTTCAAATTTCACTGATAATAAGTGTATTTTTCTACGCTAAATAATTTATGATGACATTGTATTCAATTTTTCATGTTTAGAATCATCCAAGAATTTATAAAAAAAAACATTCAATCAAACAATAATTTTTTATAATTTCGCGTTTCATATTAGGGCGCTGACAATTTTGCATCTGCTTCATCACCAGTTCGAAAGTTTATCATCCAAAATTATGGGATATTATACAATCTATGTTAAATAACTATATTAATTAAAAAATTATCCAAATGTCCGTATTTCATATCAGGTGGACTTACGTCACATCGACGAAGAATCCGGGACCCCAGTCGTAAAAATTGGCGTGGATTTGACGGAATTTTACGTATCCGTTGAGTGGGACATACTGGACGTACCGGCCGTGAGGTGAGCGAATTCCTCTTCAACAATTTATTACTCTTCAACTATTTATTACTCTTCAACTATTTTCTTTGTAATTGATGATTTTATTTCGCCTTTTTAAACTTGGCTTGCGCGGAGAATATTTTTGTCCGCAAAACAAATTTGATCGTTTCAAGCCTGAGCTCACATGCCTCAGAAGCGCAGATTTCTTCAAACATTAGCTTCTCGTTCGTTATTTTTATATCGGTAGCAATAAATATTTCTTACTTTAAATGAAGACTGCTTTCAATATTTAATAAAAGAAAGTTAGAATGAAATCTAAGTTTTTGTGTACGTGTTATTATTATTATTATTTTCTGCGATATTAATTTGAATAAGCAAAAAAATTGATCAAACGATGAGAATTTAATCTAAATCCAGATTCAAATTGAATCTAGATCTAAATTGGAATCTACAAGTCGATCATCTCATCTTCTAGACTTAATTTCTCCTAAAGTTGCTTCATTTTTTATTAGGGATTTCAAATAACTTATACCAAAATAACAACCTGAATCGCATGCACAGGCACGAGAAATACTACACTTGCTGCGACGAGCCATACTTGGACATCACTTTCAACATAACCATGAGACGCAAGACTTTGTTCTACACTGTGAACCTCATCATCCCTTGCACCGGCATCAGTTTCCTTACAGTTCTGGTTTTCTATCTGCCATCTGACTCGGGGGAAAAGGTAAGTGGCAATCTGAGACACTATAGCCGTAGCAAGTTACTAACCGTCGCAAGTTACTAACCGTAGCAGGTTATGTTCGTGAGTTTTGGGCATGACGGCTATGGCTCGTAAAGAAGCTGTATCACCAGAACTCCATCCAAGGATGTGGAGGGTGTGAGGCTCGGTGTCATCTTCATTTCTTTTATACCGCGCTTACATACAAAGGGGAACCGCGAGAAAATAACCTCTTTGCTGCTGTAATAGAGATAGATTTTGTTTAACCATACGGCGTTTTCACGTAGTGTTCAAGAAATGCTCGGTTAATCAAGACTAGGAAAAATAAGGCAGGATTAGTTGATTTTTAAGACTAAAAATACTGTCCACAGGTACAAAAACTGTTCATCGATATGAATTTATTTTTCCGGTTGATACGCTTACATGTTCGATGCTAAAGAAAATGCGATAGAAATAATTTTACCCGAGAAAGTTTTCAAAATTACATCGACTGAATCTAATAAGTCGAACTTCTAAATCAAACATCAATTACTTGATTGAATAAATTTTTTATTAAATAGTTGCCGCTGCCAAAATGACCGCAGAAATGTCCACTACACGATGAGCTTCTCTTCTGCGACGTCCATCGCGTTAATCCGCTTGATTTTGTCGAAGTCATCGTGAAGAAATTTGAAGTTGTTGAAGTGTGAACTTCTGATAACATTTAAGTCGAGAAGCCGCGGGCTGATGACATTTTCAGCGCCAATGGCACTTCGTTTGAACTTTTAATTATCCAATTAAACAAGACGGACTTGAGACGTCTGTTCAACGCCAACTTATTCTAAGACTAACTTGAACCTAGCGTTTTGATTTAGTATAGTATAAAAGATTAAACATAACAATTGTGTTGATAAACGTTGGTTTCGAACATTGCTAAAATATTTGCTGAGAAATGTATGTATATTCCAGTAATATTAATTGAACGTTACAGTGGAATATAGATGGACAATTTTGATATTATTAATTTGAACAAAATGAAAATTAAGGAATATGAAATTTGAAAATTGCTTTTATTTTAAATTGAATGCAGTCACAATGAAGCCTCACAAGTTTAATTATGCTTGTCAAATAAAAAATAACTTAAAATGAATTCAAATTTTAGTAAATTTCGTTGATTTAGTTCACATTAATTTTGTGAACTGTGAATTTCTGCTGTAAATAAATGATAACAATTTCGTTACTGTACGAATTGCACTTCATGCATGATGCAGGCTGCTCCCGCCTCAGCAAATGTCCACAACGAAATTAATGAAACTTTGAGAATGATTTGCTTTGATGAACTTTAGAAGTTATTCAGTTCGCTGCTTTTGAGTTGTTTAAACAAACAAAGTCTTCTTTACCCATGCGAGTAAACCCTGCGAGTGCAAACATTTCCAGCAAGTGAACCAGAATCTTTATCCATTATTAAAGATTTATTCAATGATTTATAAAGAACCTTGATCTACGCTAACCGAGAAATATCTAGGGCACACGGAATTTAGTTTGCAACGTTTTGTTACTCTACTAGCAAAATTAAAACAATAATGCAATTTCTATTTAATCAAAACACACAAAGCAATTTACATTTAATGAAATTGCCAGGCCGTTGACTACGTTTCATATCATCAAGGTTTACTTTGAATTCACCCAAAAAATCATTGTCCAATTGGCGTGTCTGATTTTTGCTGCAGCTGCGTTGATGAGATGCACGAAATTTATTGGCATGCACAATTCCCGCTGTTGTATATTCAGCGATGCTAATTTCACAGGGACATTCATTTCCTTTGTGAATTATTTCTGGACTAAATATGTTAGAGATGAAAATGAAATCCCATGGCTTAGCTTCTGGGCACGAATGGTGTGTCTGCATTCATAAAGTGTTCATAACATGAAGAATATTTTGCAAAATTAATATAATTTCCGAAAAATAAAGAAAAAAGATTCAGTAAATACAGTAGATTAAAAAAGTTTCCGGTTCAGATGCGATTGGAATCGAAACAAATCCCGATGCTGACTCAGCTACTGAGAAATGATTAAACAATAAGTTTACATGTGATGATAAATTTCCAATGATGAATTGAACCATTTCATACTACTCATTTACTCGCAAAAGTTAATTAACCTACTAATCATTTAATTAATTTTGTATATGTTTCAGGTTAGTCTATCTATCAGCATCCTGCTGTCGCTCACTGTGTTCTTCCTCCTGCTCGCTGAGATTATCCCGCCCACCTCGCTCGTGGTGCCTCTGCTCGGCAAATTTGTGCTCTTCACCATGATTCTCGACACGCTCAGGTGAGCGCACTATACTTGATAGGGTGGTGCTCTTCACCATGATTCTCGACACGCTCAGGTGAGCGCACTGTACTTGATGGGGTGGTGCTCTTCACCATGATTCTCGACACGCTCAGGTGAGCGCACTGTACTTGATGGGGTGGTGCTCTTCACCATGATTCTCGACACGCTCAGGTGAGCGTACCATACTTGATAGGGTGGCGCTCTTCACCATGATTCTCGACACGCTCAGGTGAGCGTACTATACTTGATGGGGTAAATATCCTATAATTTATAGGGTGAAAATACTATATTTGAAAATACTATATTCGATAGGGTTGAAATACTATACTTGATAGGGAGAAATGCTATATATGATCGGGTGAAAATACTGCAATTGCGCAGGTGAAAATACTATAATCGCTCAGGTAAAAATACCATACTTGATAGGGTGAAAACAATATAGTCACTCAGGTAAAAATACCATACTTAATTAATAGGGTGAAAATACTGTAATCACTCAAGTAAAAGACTATACTGGATCAGGTGAAATTACTATAACCGCTCACGTTAAAATATTATAATTGATCGGGTGAAAATACTGTAATCACTCAGGTAAAATACAGTGCTTGATCGGGTGATAATACAATGCAATGAATATTTAATCAAGTGAAAATACTCTTTTTTAGAACAAATTAAAATACATTAGATTGCGCAATACATTATATAACCATTTTAAACGTTAAATCTAAGTCAACATTCCTTTAATCAAAATTATGCCCATCAACACTAACCATTGCCACAATTTTCAATAACTCCATTTGGCCCAATATCAGCATTATACCAGCATTGGTTCAACAACCAATTAAACTCCATGGTTTTTTGCCACGTCCAGCATCTACGCGCCGGTGCTGCATGCTGCTAAACCTGCACTTAATTACAAAGTTACATTACAACTTGGTTATTGCCAAAATAATTAAATTTGTCTATAATATAACCGTAATGGTCTATTGGTCTATCGTCGAATTTCAACTTCATTAAGTTCTTTGCTTCGTCTAGCATCTGCGTTACAGTGCTTGTTTCTTTTCAACTTCTTAATGGTCCATATAATGCAACGTTTCTTTACAACTTCTTAATGGTTCATATAATGAAACTCTCTAAAATTTATTTTTATCTTCTATTATATAATGCCGAAGATTAATTGATCTAACGTCACATTACAAGTGCATTGTTCTCCGTCACGCAGCATCTGCGTGACGGTGTTGGTGCTGAACCTGCACTTCAGGTCGCCCCAGACGCACACCATGGCGCCGTGGGTGCGCCGCGTCTTCATCCATATTCTGCCGCGGCTGCTGGTCATGCGCAGGCCGCAGTACCAGATGGACAGACACCGGTGAGACTAAAATATTGTATATTAAATATCGTAGATCAGATGTCCTGGGAGTTATGATTTGTTATTGCAGCTGGTGAGGCTGTAGTATTTGGGATATATTATAGAGTGGCGGTGAGGCTGGTGAGGTTGAGGAAGCTAACTTATTTGGTAAATCGTATAGAGTGTCAGTAAGATTGGCGAGGCTGAGCAGGCTAACTTATTTTAGATGTCTTATAGAGTGTCGGTGAGATTGGTGAGGCTGTGGAAGCTAACTTATTTTAGATGTCTTAAAGAGTGCCGGTGAGGCTGGTGAGGCTGTGGAAGCTAACTTATTTTAGATGTCTTAAAGAATGTCGGTGAGCCTACGCAGGCTAACTTATTTTAGATGTCTTATAGAGTGTCGGTAAGATTGGTGAGGCTGTGGAAGCTAACTTATTTTAGATATGATATACGGTCAGTGAAGCTGGTGTGGCTGAGGCGGCAAGCGTATTTAAAATATCTTTTAGTGTTTCCGTGAGGCCGGTGAGGCTGAACATGCAATAATATTGCCTATATATTTATCAGTTGGTTAATTCTTACCACTATATAGACAGAACTCGACCGAGCAAGCAATGGATGTTGTTCACTTATTATTTATGCAGCTGGAGCGTGTTGAAGTAGTAGAAAAATATCTAATTTCATTATTTATTCTCATCGTTGATGCGCGAGAGATTTTTTTAACGGGTCACAGGAAAAATTTGCGCGTAAAAATTATATGAAATCTCCAAGAACCATGGGAAGATTGTCCTCAAAATCTTGCATCAGAATATCATTAATCACAAGCTGACTGGGATTATGGGAAAGCCTAATGAGACCGTACAGAATTTTCTGAATAAAATTGTCAAAAATGACACTTTTTTGAAAAAAATACGGTAAACAGAATATGTAGTAGTCTGAAAGTCGTAGGATCTTAAATTAATAACATAAAACAAAAATAATGAAACTATGGGATGAATATGAAATTTTCATTCTTTATGTTTGTTCAGTAATAAAAACATTATTCACCATCGAACTATATAGGAATATTTTTTACTGACGGAAGGAGTCAATTATCCTTAATCTACTTAAACTTATTTTTTTGAAAGACTATTACTTCATCGTGATAATAAAGAAGAGTGCACTTTATTGAAAAATGAACGAAAGTTCTGTCCAAAATACGACCTCGTTACCCAGCGCGGTGAGCATCTATTTCTGCAGGCGCTACCAAGTTGTCTCAGCGAGCACTCAAAAAAATATCGTAAGTAAATCAGATGCGCTCGTCCAAAATCGATGCGTTGAGATATCGCGGCTGTAAAATCGCTCCTGTCAATAGACGATCCTAGATTAAATTTTCCGGATATCATGCGCCGATTTTGGGTCTAAAATAAAAACGAAAGTGAGGGCGAGAAGAGACGATGAAATATTGGCTACATATTCGCATAAAGATAAAAAGAGACATGCAGCAAAAACCCGTTCCAATATACCAAAAAAACTGAAGAAAAAAGACTCAGGCGAAAAATTATAATCGTATATTCACCAGAAATTCTTTCTTGCATTTTCCCGGTTATGTCTGCAGAAATCGTCCGCTCAGCTATGACGCTTAAATTATATGCCCTTAGAAACGTTAACTTTCCTACGAAAATAGATTAAATTATGCGCGGAGAGAGGAATGGAGAAAGTCAAAAGGAAGTTAGTTATATTATATTCGTATAATTATATTATATTTTGTTGCACCTACGTGAAATCGTACTTTCGGAATAGACGTTATAGATATGGAATTGTTTTTAGCTTAGATAAAATATGTCTCAATAGGTAATGAAAAATTGAAAAACCTTGCCTGAGATTTAAAAGGCAATCTGTTAAGGAGTTGAATAATTTATATATGCTTCCTCAACATATTTAATTACACGCCTCTTCAAAGATATGTTGGAACCTCCCTGTATAAACTCGACGTAACTTTTCTGCGATCTTAGGGACCGTGTCGGTGACAAATTTAAGCCTTAGATTATTGCGCTCGTTAGGTGGCTTTAATTATTAGTGGCTTCAAACTTGCGTCAAAAATTCAATTAATATTTTATGGAAGAAATTAGAATGGAATTTTTACTCATATATATTATTCTCATCTTCATGTCATGGTAATGTTATTCATGATTTGAGAACTATTTATCACAATGGTGCTGGAAGATGATCATTGTTCATTCATTTTTATTTCTAATCCTTCATATAAGTTACGAAATGCTCGTGCTGCGTAACGGAGTTTATGGCTTTGGCACCAATACATGAAACCGAAATCGTTGTTTTAACATTACTATAATACTTGGCTTGACTTGACATTAACAATACTATAATACTATATTAGCTCAAAATAATAACGAAATCACCAAATATTATTGTTATGTACACATATTTTCATATTTTCTCTTATTAATTTCTCAGAAATTGTTCGCAGCCTCTGAGTTTCATTGTTCGGCAGAGGTAGAATTGCACACAAGTTCTGAATATTTTTAATCCCTGTTTATTGCAGCATTCAAATTGCATTTTATTTACGAACTTTCCACCTGTCAGAATGCCAATGGAGAAGCGGAGGTCGAGAAGGTAGATCTGTTGATGTTCCCTCAAATTTTCTACCCTATAACTATGCCAATGTGTGGTCGTAAATTGGACGTTAATTGACCACCAACAACCACTATCTGTACCCTGTTACTGTAAACCATCATATCCCATCAGACAAATGACGTAGAAACAACGTTGAATTAACGTTGATTTTTAAACTAACAACTTTTATTTCAACGTTGATTTAACGTCAGATATCTGATGGAATGTGGCCGTGAATTGGACGTGATATGCAACAGTTTACTAACCTTAAAAGTGAAAACGAATTATGGTATCCCGGAATATTTTTCATTTTATTTTTTTCCACTGACCATTCGTTGGTTTGAAGCTTTATGTTGGCCTCAATTAATTAAACCCATAATAATTTCAGGAAAAAATAGACTTGCACGTGAGTCAAATATTGATTCATGTAATAAAATCGAAAGATTTTTCTTCCCTGCTTTGATATTAAGTAATCTGTGATCCGCTGCAAGTTAAAGTTCAAATTAATTGTAAAATCGTTTTTTCGTCAGAATTCGACAAACAATTTCGAACGGTGACAATCTTAAATAATTTCAATACATTTTTTCGCAGTGTATCATGAAAGCAGTTAATCATGAGAGCTGAAAATGATTGATACGGTGACGATAATAAAATATTGAATTGATCAATACCTATTCTACCATCTGAAAATCTGTCACGCGCATAATTTAGTCTTTTCAAGCACGGAATGCCTGAAAACCAGGCATTCAATACATTTTATTTTTCTTTGAACTAATAAAAATTCATCAGTTTAATTCAAGTCGAAATCCGAGAAGAGATAAATTTTTTCACAAGATGATGTTATACGCTGGTAATCGTCATTAGGTTGCTCCCGTATAGAGGCTCAAGTGAATAAACTTTTTGCACCTATAATTAGATAAGCTTACCGCTTAATCACCAGAAGATTTTTCATTAAATTTTCATTTCCTCCCAATCGCGTCAAGGTCCCGCAGGATGAAATTTCCACGGTGATATATCGTCCTAATTATATCGTTAACCTTCATTTCGTAATTATATTTTTTTGTTCTGCAGACAATTTTTTAAATCTTTACCAACACTGCCATTACCTCCAAACTCCCTCGCTCACTGAAATGTAATGACAATGCTTACCGCACTTGCCCTATTATTTCCCTATTATCGAATACCTCAGTCAAGCATCATTTTCTTCACGTAGGTCGATCGAATTCAAATAAATATTTTACCCTAGATTTCGGATGACTTTTTTTGATAATCTTTTTTCCCATTCACCGAAATGCAGTATAAATGGCTTAACATTTTCTCCCTCATAATTATAAAAAATTCCCTTTAGTCAATTAACCCCGTCTTGTGGATGATGAAAATGATGGCTGTTTTTTTTCAAATTTCGCTCAATTTTTTTTCAAAAATTCATCTTGTCCCTCGTTTCAATGATCGAATTTTCAACATTTTTCATTCCCTAAAGTCGTCCTGAAACGATGCCTATTTATCGGTTATCTTTTCCCTTCAAATTCTTCCATGAGGTTTTATTGCTATTTTGATAATCCTCCATTCATACATTATAGAAAAATATTCTTCCACAGAACCGTTTGGATGCAATCTACATAGCTTACTTATTTGTACAGCCTTTTATTGTCTGACAACCTCAATTAATTATGAAGTTTTGGTAAAATATTTTTTCGAGGTAGTCTGAGCAATAAATTTTCTTGCAGAACAATAATTATGAAATTCAAACGGTACCTTATCCTAATTTTAAAATATCCATTCCATTTAACACCAAAATTATATTATGTAAAAATGTTCAATATACGCATATCGATGTCAAAATATAGAGATGTATAGAAATGAATATGTTTTGAATGAATGGATAGATACTTCAGCATCTGATCTCATCTTTTCTCATTTACATTTGGGAACAGCCACGAAATTTAAAGAAGCAATTCATTTATTTATTTATTTCAGCCTTAATTTCATTTCGTTTATTCTTCTCGATGTTTTTGTTGTTGTTATGTACGCCCTGCATTCAATCCCCTTAAATTTTTTTTCGGGTACGCAGCCAAAAATAATAATACCCTTCGAAGCCCCCCAAAAAATATTGAAATTTTCATTGATTTTGTAAAGTTCATGTCTGCATAATACATAAGTCTTCTCAATATTTTAACTGGTTTTTTCTTACATTGACAAAATAACACATAATATTAGTGCCCATGTAGCGATTTCAATAAAAATATATCTAATCGTGTCACACTAAAATGCGGAAAAATATAAATCATATGACTTAAATAGCTTAAAAATAAATGTGAAAAATCTTAGCTGATGCCACATAACTTACACCTACATATACTTAATTTCACTTAAAATCTGAAATTTTATTAATGTATGCTGGTGTGACTTTCTTCAGCTTGTTTTCCCGAGCGACGACGAGTCTTCTGAGATCTTGCAACGGAGGAAACATGGCGCAAGACACACGTAACAACCCCTACTACGCTGCAGCTGATAACAACGACTCTACCAGCTCATTGGCGTTAGTAATAACTACTGCTACTGTGCCAACGTTAGAAAATATTCTAGTTAGCGCAAACTCACGTAAATGATCTCCTCACCTAATTCATTTTCGTTAGTCTGTACCTGACCTTGTTTGGTTCGCCTTTTGCTCGAAATTGAACTTCAAATATTTTTCAAATAAAGGCAGATCACCGCCAGTTCAAGGATCCCATCCCGGCCTTATAGTATTGTACCATCGCCGCCTATAATCATCGATGCTCCACCCTTGATTTGCGCCTATAATCATTGATTCGCCACCCTTGATATGTTACTTGGGAAGTTTCCCGAAAATGATGATCTTTTGCCTTAACCGGCGCTGGCACCAGCTTCGAATTCAGCTTGGAGATAACTTTAACCTTAGGGTTTACCTTTTTTGAATTATATTAGTGTTCATTACCTGCAATAATGCAAATCTAATTTAGTGACCCCTACAGGTCATCGCCCAGCAGAAGTACTCAGGAGCTCAGGGATGCCATCAGGGACGGTCTCATCTACATGGACCTGCAGGCAGAGCGGCAGAGGACGGGATCCCCAGGCCTCTCGCCTCCCCCGTCAGTTATCTCATGAGGCATTCATTGTTTTGTATCTTCTATAATAAATTACTTTCATACTATTTTTTAATGTTACATTTTGATTGCATAATCATCTATTGCACATCGGTCAGTTTCTGTACTTCAATGTTCATTATTTATGTTCATATGGCCTAATTTAAGTATCAAAGCAAAATTTCTCAACTTGCGAAAATTTGAGTGGTTTATTTTTGTTTTTATGGGACAAGTGAGTTTGAGCGTGTAAGAAGAATACCGCTCAATGCCAGTAATAATTGCAGTGTACGCGAACTAGAGCTCGGTAACAATCGAATGAAGGTTTGTCATTATTCCTGTTCAAAATAGAATATTGCAATATTATCCACAATATTAATATGGCTTGATTGCAATACTTTCCACAATCTGAGACCGACAACATTTTTTGGGTTCATGTTAAAAAAATGAACTCCAAAGAAATGAGAACGGCCTTGTCCGAATAGCAATGCACTTTTTTGCCTTTGTATGGGTTATGATAACCCCAATCAGTGCTACATTCGCTTTCTGCTTGTGCTGTAGGTAAGAATGTGTGATAATATTTGTGAACACGTTCAATTTCCTTGTGGACACGTTCAATTTTTAAGGGCCTCGTAGCTCTTGGTGGTCAAATGATTGTATCTACGTATTATTTTTTTGATTTCGTTATAATCTCATGATTCGTTTCGATAAACTCTCGTGATATGACTAACATTGTAGTGCAACTCTTGATGTACAAATCCACTTGCGTCGCCGTGATTTTAGAGTATGGATAAAAACATGACAAATGCAATGTTTGTCGCTCTTAATCGTTCGGCAATTACAATATTTACAATTTTTGGCAAAGAATGCACTGTATTTGTAAATTACTTAAATTTTGTACAAAGGAAAACAGTAACGTTTTTTCGCCATACGCGAACACTGGTAACTCATTATTTTCTCAAAATAATTGTACCTGAAACGAGCAGATCGGGACTGGAAGCGAGCATGAACGGTGGATGTAAAATCCACGGCCCTGCGGTGCTTGCTGACCAGCTGGGAGTCGGGGTGCCTTTGGGATGCCCTGACCTAGGCAACAAGGGTACCATCCCTTCAACGTACCCTCTAGGGTGTGCAGGGGGCACCCGTACTAGGTATTGCCCTGAAGTGATACGCGCCTTCGAAGGGGTGCGATACATTGCCGAGAACACGCGGCGCGAAGAGGAAAGCCTTAGGGTAAATTAATCCGAAAATAATTTCAATTCTTATTATTTTTATAGACTTGTATAGGTAGGGTAAGCTTATCAGGAAATACCCAAAATTCTTATAAAATTTTCTGACTTTTATTGATAAGGTAAACTAATTAGCAAATGTCTAAGGTTCCCACAATTTTTCTGTCTTACATAATTAATATAAACTCGTACAAGAATGCAGGATTTTGAACCATTTTTTAAACAAATTAGAATTTTAAAAATATAATTCAATTTTATTTTTATTATAGGGATAAGAATCAACGTAATAGCTAGGTGTAATGAAACTTGCAATGTGAGGTAAATAAATGTAAGTAAGTAGCCTAAGAATATCCTTTAACAGTTCACGCTAAACGTATTCCAAATTTGGAATAATTATTCGAAATTCTCAACTTTGTATGGAACCTGTCACTAATTTAATAATGAAGAATTTTCTTTGATATATAGATATCTAGTGAGGTTTGGGAACCTGAATGAGGAGAATCTCGAGGTAAAATGTTCCGTCAAATCGATATTCCTGCATCGCGATTTCTGGCAAATAGAAATGATTTTCAGCTGCTTGACTAATTACCTGTCATTCACCAATAACCTTTTCATAAATGTGTTTTAAAAGCAAGTTTTAAACATGAAAACGAGGGAATAAATAACGTTATTCCAAGCATTATTACAATCACATATTAATATATATTACAATAATTAAATGAGCCAATATAATTCTTTGTTATATTTCAGGTTAAGGAGGACTGGAAGTACGTAGCCATGGTCCTGGACCGACTTTTTCTTTGGATTTTCACACTCGCGGTCCTGCTCGGCACGGCAGGAATTATCCTTCAGGCTCCTACACTCTACGACGATCGCCTGCCTATCGACATGAAAATTTCTGAAATAATCGCTATAGGTTCACGAGGTGTGCAAGGAAGAGCTGGTAAATAGTAAAGACTCACGCTCATAGGTAAATAAATTAATTTCTTCTTAGAGGAAATGTTCGTTAGTTTAATGAGAACACTAAGGTGAACTCGAGCGAATGAACTGCCAAATTATGAGAGCTGTGAACGCAATCGAGCTTCTTGACTATTTTTTTCTCTCAAATAAGTCATATGTGGAAGCTTGCGAACAAAGAGTCTTTTTGTTCTTGGAACTATTTTTTTAGATTTTTGTAACCACTACTAAAAATCATCAATTTTAATTATATTGTATCTACTTTTTAATTTATCCAAGTACGATAAATCATCAAACCTTATAAAATAATGGAACATTTTTTCTTTAGACATCAATAATCCTTTTCTCCTATCTCAACCTTCTATATAATTTTTAATTAGATTTGTAATCCATGTAAGATTTGGGTTAATCGAATCTTTATTAATCGTATATTATATTCTAATTAAGTAGGACTTGGGAAATTCCGGTTTTAATTTTATGCATCATCAGATTCTGAATGATTCTTGAAGACATCGCCACTGAAAAATTTTTAACGATTGGTACTTTATCACTCGAAATAATTAATTAAATAATGATTGCTCAAGTGCAGATGGTCATTAAGTTGAATTTCGGCAGTCTCTACATCATGCAGGGTGATCTTTTTATGTATAATGATTAATATTCTACGGGACGCTGGCATATTTGTTTTTGAGTATAAAAAGCTATTGTCTGTCCATCTAATTTATTGAAAAGTTCGTCGCAAAATAAATATTTACGTGAGATAAGGCATAGTAGACTGAAAAATCAAGGCAGTGAAGAATTTAAATAATTACTTACATAATTGCTGATACAGTAAATATATTGATTAAAATAATGATCATTGAAACAAACAAACAAAAAAAAATAATACACAACTCAAAATGATAGCCCTTAGAAAAAATGTATTATTAGTAGAATATAATTTTATGTAATGACGATTCAATGTACTAAAATTAACCTTTATCTTAATTCAGAGATTAACCCTTTTCTTCATTGACTATTATGCATTATACTTTTTCTCGAAAAGCCTGTTGGCATATCCAACTCATGTGTACATATCTACGTCATAAACATTTCAGAGAAATGCCCCGACATTTCATTCTGCGGCCAGCAAAACTATTTATTACAGAAAATACGATAAAATCAGCGGAGTGAGATTTTTTGGAAAATGTAGGTGTGAGAAATTCACTTATGTAGGTATCATGAATATTATAACGTTTGAGGCTTTCTATGATATTCGAGTGCATTTTATATTTCTGTAAAGAAAACTGCATCACAGTATTATGACTGAATTACCTTTAACATTTCGATAAACCGGCAATAACAATAAATGGCAATTTTATCATTTTTCCTTGCTCATACTTAGGTATATAATTTCTGCGCTTGTTTCGTCGTAGACTCTTATTCGAAGGTAAAGTTGGATCCAAAAATGTTTAAAAAAAACTGTTCAACGAATCGAAAAGTCAAAAATAATTTTGGTGTTGATTTTTTTCATAAAATTCGTAGAAACTTTGTGAATAGCTAAAAAGAATCGTTGCACTCATATTACGACATCATCAACTCAAAATCTTTGTTTGCTGAGAATTTTTTCTGGGACAAGATAATATAATTAACAGGATTATGTTAAGAAGAAGGATTGCTATTGTAAATAATGCGTATTTTTATTGCAAATCCTCAACCATAATCAAACTATGTACTCAACCCTTGCTCACGATGTGTGTGATTATTGAGTGTCAAATCTTGAAGTTTCCATTTATGATTCTCCTAAATGTTGTTGTTATCATAAGACTGCACAAAAACGATTACAAGTATTTTGTATTATTAAGGGAGTTCATTCATATGTCAAGATTTAGAGTATTTTTTAATGACTTGGCATGGCGCTGATCAACAAGCTTGTTTGGGCACTTTAAAAAATTTATCTTTTCATCTTCATATCCAATTTCATTTAAAATTTCAAAATTAATAACTTTTATTATAGTAATTTGCATAGTTCAATATTTAATTTTTCACTACGAGCCTTTGTTATCAGCCTATATAAATATCATGTGTTAAAACCCGACCTTCTTTTTAGTAAGTAGTTTCCTAAAATACGATTTACGATCGTCAAGAAGTGGTGATAAACGGTGGTTACTTATCGGCCAGCACTGCAAATGATAAACATTATTTATCACGGAATGAATCCTTCAAATATCTATTCCTCCAACATTCAATAAACCAATGTTGTTTCTACACGATTCGTACATTAGATCTTTCCAGCACATATTCACCTGATTAATACAACTTTGTTCTAAGCTGGATTACTCGGAAAATATTTTTTGGGACATTTTAGGGAATTTGGAACAAATAACAAATTTCTTTACCTGATATTAGTGGTACTGGTCTAAGGATTATTTGTAAATATTCAGCTCATGAAAACATTTTTTACCATAAAAAAGACTGAATTTGTTGTAAAATTTTGAATTATATTATTGTGGCCAATTCGTCGTAAATTATATATATTACGAAATGGAATGTAAGATTTAAGATTCTTGTACGGCATTTGCAGCATCGCACTCTACTTCTGTACTGGTCATCTTAAAACGAATTCTTGCCAACATCATTCATGTTCAGTACAAGTAAACCAACTTCAGTGAGTATAGTTTGCAAATTTTGATGTATTAGGTGTGTGTTGTTTTCCTAGGTGTATAGTTTAAGATAAACTATGATTATCTTTTAAGAAAAACCTTCTGATTGGAAGGTCACATTTTTGTGCTGAAAATATATATTTTTGCAGTTTTAAGAGCACATGTAGAAACTTATGATTATCTTTCGTGGTAGATTTTGACAGACGCTCCTCGATCAGACATTAACGTAGAAATATACTTGCAATCTCTCATCAAATAATAAGAATCAGATATTCACTCAGAAAAATAAAAAGGTTCACATTGCGTTCAATGGTTCAATAAAATAAAATGTTCAATAGCGTCACACTTTCAGCACATAGCAAATTTACGCTCCCTTTGCCGGACAAAAATTTGTCACGAAGAGCTAAAAGTGCACTGCGATTTTGATCTTAAAAAATCACTCAATTCACTGAGAATGTTGAGGAGCTTGAAACGATGTTGGTATAAAGAGAACTTCATGCGAAATTTCGCATGCTACTGAAAGATTATAGGTCCATAGAAGTTATTTTGTACCGCGCATTCAATCGCGATAATGTAAAAAAGTGCAATAAAATATATATTGGATGATACAACTAGACTGGGGAATATCAATTCGATAATGTAATGTTTTAAGGCAAGCAAGAGTCATGCATGTTCAAAATTAGCTGTAGAAAACAAGTGAATTTCTGAAATTAGCTCAACGGTTTAGACAAAATATGAAAAATATAATTATTGACTTGTTCATTATTTACAGTAATGTGAATTCTATTGACATTCATGCGCAGATTTTAATTTGTAGTCAAGTAGTTATAAGAAAATATACAAAGCTAAGCTACCTGCATTTCCAGTTATTCGCGCTCCCGAGCGTGAAAATAATTCAGTTAAAGCCGCATTTTTAGTTTTGTTTTTAGCGACGGGATTTCAATAAAAATATTTACCTCTGATCCATTAAAAAATTTGGGTGTATATTTGACGATTTTCAATTCAGTAATTTTGTTTTGACATTTTTGCCGTGAGATTTATTGACAAAATCGTTCTCATGTTTAGATTTAGAAATGTTTTAGGTTACAATTAATTCTTACCGCATCCATTGAACAGTGTCCCCATTTGTATATCGCCAGATTTATGTATAACCTCCTGTACATAATGCCTCATAGTTTTGCATGTTGTTCACCTCAGTAATTTACATATAAATTTTTAGGACTAAAGAAACAACTAAAGACACTAATAAATAAAAGTTCTTATGAACAAAATATGTTGTCTTCTGATAAGCCATCAAATCGGTCCCGCACGTTTTCGACAATGGCCGAACTAAAAGCCTAGCCAAGAAGGGATCAAAATTCAAAGTTTTATACCGACTGAACTAGAAATAACTTTTTGAAGTGTTTAATGAAATAGGGGTGTCAATAATATCAAGTCTTTTGACTGTTGGTGTAAATAATAAATGTTGACTTTTTAGCCAACATTTATTTCTCACAATAAGTTCAACAAATGCTGATATGACATGCTGCACGAGTGTCAACATATCGACGATCTTTTCAAAGATGACATCTTCTCAATGCGTGTACGAATTAACAATTAAATCTTCCACGTGCACTCATAGTTCAGTTATAAGCAATGTATTCACAGGTTCCAGTAATTCATAAACTGAGACTATTTCTCACGTCCCGGTTTTACAGAGTTTTTTAAATGTGAAGCAGAGTCGGTGAGACGACTTTGTACCAACGCTTCTTATGGATACAAGTTTGTACAGATTTTGTAACACCTTTATGACGATACAAAGCTTGTATTGAAGTTAACGGGGATTTTAAAGAGTTTATCAATAAACTGTTTTAAGAAAAAATCATTTGTTTCATTGTCAACCGCTTGAACAGAATTATTTCGTGATGATTTTTAGCGCATTTTCTCATTTATGGAAAAAATGCACTATTGTGCTCGCCATGTCCGTCCGTTTGTCTGTCTGTCCGTCCGTCCGTCCGTCCGTGACCTCAAGTTTTCGTCGACGAGAAAATGCGCTCTCTGTCACTCACTGCAGTGAGAACTGAGTTATATTTTTTTTCGTTATGTTGTGACTCACATTTGCAATAAAATTTACTGAATAATGTCAACATTTATTTAGTAATTGAATATGGAATATTTGAATGTGAGTAATAATATAACAAATATAATTAGTTGTATTTGCAAGGCATGTCGTCTGAACCTTCTCATCTTAAATGGAAAAATAAAGGTAAAATAATCTTTTCGAAACTCATACACATTCTAATCTCTTCAAGTTCAGAAGCCGATCGTTGTATTGAATAACCAAATGAAAAGTCATTCATTTGGTTCAATTGAAGTGATTTTTAGGTACCATTATTACCGGTTTCGAAAATTCAATGTCATGAATTTTTATATTGAATTTTGCTCATGAATGATAACTGCTGTAGATTTTGCCGCGCATAATTCATAATTTAATAAGAGAATTTTGTGTTATATTTTGTTAAACATATTTTAAACACGTTCAACTTTGGGCTTATCTAATCTCCTTTCTGTGGCAACACATTCTTGATTTACGTCAAATCTTTTAAATGCTATCAATTCAATAAATATTTTCCAGCACGCATTGGATGCGTAAAATGAGGGCATTTAATAAGATCTTATCTTCTTTCCGTTGATTATCGTGCTTTCAAGTTTTGGCGGTGCATTTCTTCATCGACAATTAATTTTTAAAAAATTGTCATTGTATGTAATTTGTTTTCTATTACGTGCAATTTGTTCCTGTGTCGCATGCAAATCTAAGCACCAAGGGAAGTTATTGTGTTGATCTATGTTGCATATTTTTCATTCTATTCATCCCAATGGAGTTAAGAGAATTTCTAAATCTTTTTTGTACGCTTAAAGTTTATCAGGCAAACGATATTTTTCTCCGACATATATTCTATTCATTACGATGAATTCAGCATTTAAAAGGATTAACCTTCCAATGCACGACAGAGCAATTATTAAATTACACATGATACATAATAATCCACAAATATTTTATGGCGCTAGATGGCATCTCTGTTGATGACAGCAAACAACGCACGATGTACTCATCTCGCCTCTGGCAGTGTCGGACGACTCTGCAGTGAGGTAGGGTGTTTGCTTTCCCGACTCGTGCGTGCATGGTTTTAAGAACTGCTCGGTATCTCGCATCCGTCACTGACCGGAATTTCTGTTCATCAAATGACAGAACTCGTTCTTTAGTTATACGTTGAGCTTCAGACTAGAGTTGTGATTCTTTTCTAACCATTTTTCATGAACCTTTATCAAGTTAATTTGTAGGAGTCAAAGGACCTCTCGACAGTACGAGGTAAGACTCCTTTATATGCAACCACATGATTTACGTATTACGTTGGATTATAAACATTCCCTTGATTCTGAGTAAGATTGTAGACGAATAATTGATTTCAATTGTATCTGAATGTTGATTTATTTCATGCAAGCATTACTCATGCTATTTTATAACTTTGTTTTTATACCCTCTTATCTCGCGAGATAAGGATTCCTGAGACGGCAGTTTTCACACCAGCAGGCGTCACTCAGGTGCTAGAACTCTCTTTCCGCGCTGAGAAAAAAGCCTCAGCAATATTAACTAAGAATTAGTGACCTGATTGAACATAGGTTCCAAAATTACGATCTACCTTTCTTTCAAAGACATTTTTTTTCAATTCTCCAAGACGGTTCTTACTTAGATATTGAATACGGTACGATGCAAAACACGTGGCGGAAAAAATATCCATCGAATGCGGCTGAGAATTGAGTCATTCAATAATATTAATTGTTGTAGCTATAATAGAATATCACAAGAAATCAATGGTGTAATAAAAACTACAACGTTTGGCGTTAAATTAACTCTGGAAACTTCCTACTTTACGTTTGACAGAGATCTACTCATCGTCTGTGCAAAGTAATTGGATATTGGAAACTACCCTTCAGTGAAAATAACCACTACTCACTCGACAAAAACCCTTAACACTCTCACTCTCAAAACACTCAAATTGTAAAGCACTCAGAGTGCAGAGTGATGAAATTTTCGATACTTGGTCAATTTTAAATTGCAATTTCAGAAAATACACGGACACATCATATTTGTTAAAACCCTGACTATTTTCAGAGGATTCTATCTACTCCATGTTGTAAAATAGATTGTCCCCTGCACTCAGAAAAGTGAGTGGGGAAAAGTGTTGTTCAATTAGTGACACTTTCTGCTCGTGTCACTGATACGCCGTCTTGCCGGGACGAACTGTTCACACAGCGGCGAGAAGTGTATCGCTACTTGGACAAGTCTCACTCATTTCTCTGAGTGTGATTATGTATGCCTGACGCACCAATCGATATGTCCCTATCCGAAATTGCAGGGCAATATTTTTAATTGAGTGAATACTAATTAAATTCTTCTTGCAGGTCGACTTGCCCCTCCGTGACTTCGCCTCAAGGAAACACCTACCAAAAGCTTCTGAAGCAAGGCCTGCCTTCCTTCGGCCCTTAAAATTTTTTTGGTTGGGAATCAAAATTTTGAAAAAATTATATGGTATCAAAATGATCCCCGAAGTGTGTGGAGTTTAATGGTATGATCGCCATTTTTGACAATTTCTGTAAAAAAATGAAATATTTTCGATGTGTGAAAATTAAGACAAGCTAACCTAACATAAACTGAAAAGTCAAGGACTGCCTACCTTCGGCCCTAGAGTGACAACCTAAGCTAACATAAGCTGAAAAATCAAGGACTGCCTACCTTCGGCCCTTGAGTGACAACCTAAGCTAACATAAGCTGAAAAATCAAGGACTGCCTACCTTCGGCCCTTGAGTGACAACCTAAGCTAACAAAAGATGAAAAATCAAGGACTGATTACCGTCGGCCCTTGAGTGACAACCTAACCTAACAAAAGCTGAAGAATCAAGGACTGCCAACCAAACTATCTAAATTCTAAACAATGTTACTATTGTAATTGACACATTCAACCTTCATATGCAAGAGTGAGCTACGTTGGTCCATTTTGGCAAACGTAGCAGAGTACAGAGCAAAATGGCAATCCAGAACGTTGTTCAGTGTTCAAATAACGACATAAATTTCGGCAAGTACTTCAAAGCAGTCACTTCGACGGGTAAGATAATAATGCAGAAGGTATCACTTCTCGTTCTTTCTTCAAATACTAATTACACCGCTGGAATGAGCATACAGAGTTTCTGCTGTGGAGGACTTGGTTGGTCCAATGGGGAACTACGAAAAATCTTCCGCAGTGATCTTCCAAGAACGAAATTCAGCCTCGAAGACCCACAACTTGAAGGTGATGTGACGTTCTGGTACAAAATTATTAGCAATCTTTTGGGTCCACTGCCAGATTCTCTTAAAAACAAACTTTCCCAGTTGAAAAATTTACGAAACTGTGTTTGCCACGAAGAGCTCACGATTAGCGATCTCGATTTGATCGACAAAATGCAGCATCTCAAGATGCTATCTGTCGACATAATGAAAGACGTTGACGCTTTCTTACGCTCCGACTCATCAGCGTTCGTAGACAAGTTGTTAGAAGACTTGGACGACCTGCTACAGCAAAGCATAATGACAGTTATTTCAGCTAGTGTCGAGTGCTACAAAGAATTTCGAGACGATCTTATTGGTCGACTCATCAGAAATGGTCGTCGTGAGTTGAAAAAAAGTTACGACAGCTTGAAAATATTAAATCCTCTCAACTGGCTCAATGATGACCAATTTCACGAATTTAGCGTAAAGAATGTTTTTACGGTGCTCCAACTATCGCATGCGGGTGTGGATATTGAACAAAGTAACCTCCTTGAATTAGGTAACAATATTCGTTTTCTCGCTAGGGTAATAATATTGAGCGGTGTTTTTGGATCTGGCAAAACTTCATTGTGTAGATACCTTGTACACGAATGGTGTTCATACTCTAACTCAGTTCATGGACTCAACGACTTCGATCTTCTTATCCACATCAGCCTGCAATGTGTGGTGAGTGACAATATGAAACAGTTCATCACTGAGCAACTCCTACCACTTACTACCAAAGATATGAAGCCAGATGAAGTAGTGCTCCTTCTACAGAACATACGAGTTCTCTTTGTCATCGACGGCTACGACGAACGCAACGCTGCTTCTCGAGCTCTCGTGAAAGAGATTTTGATGAAATTTGTCGACGCTAAGATCGTTCTTGCATCACGACCAGAATTTACTCTTGAAATCAAAAACATGGTCGGCCAGCACATCGAGGTCAGCGTGCTTGGTTTTGATGCGAAGAGGAGAGTGGAGTATGTAGACAAGGTGATGACGGCCTTGGAACCCGATAAGAAAGAGAGGAGAGCCAAATCAGACAAATTTCTGTCCATGATCGCCAACAATAGTAAACGCATTGGAGAGCAGCTCGATCTTCCTTTGGCTACATCACTCCTACTTATTTTGTGGCTTAAAGATCCAGAAAGCGCCTCAAACATTAGCTCATCAACCAGCTTGTACGTAGAACTTTTCAAAATGTTCCGCTCGAAACTAGTGAATCGACTCTTGAACCAGTCATCTAGTCATCAAGTTCAAATAGAAAAAGCTGTCGATGAATGGTACAGAAAAGTGATACGAATAGCATGGAAAATGCTAATCAGTGACACGCTCTACCTGTCTGACGGTGACAGAGATGAACTGGTCGCTGCAGCAGAGGCTTTGCATATCAACCCTATTGAAACATTGTCTACATTCCTCACATGTCGAATGCAGGAATCATTGTCTGGAACTTCGTACTGCTTCTCATTTATGCACAACTCCGCAGTCGAGTTCATGGCAGCTGAATACTTTTCCGCATTTCTATCAAATACTGAAAATGACGAAGTAACTTCTCATCGGATTTCCCTAAATCGCGAACAAGAAGTTTTGAGGGATTTGAGGAAAAGCGGAAACATTCTCCGCTTCAGAGAAATGATCATCTACACTTTTGGACTTCTGCCCAAATCGAACCGGCAGGGCGACGAAGATTCAATTCCAGTTCCAATCGTAGAATTCTTACTGAAACTTCTTCTGGAAGAGCTAACAGTTTCTGAAGAAGAAACTGAGTTGTGGCACAACATTATCACCGAGTCAAGATATGACTCTGCAGTACGTTGTGCCATAGGCGCAGCAATCAATTCAAAATCATGGTGGACCATCGATGAAACTAACAAACTACTCACGAATGTTCACCTGAGTTTGATGAGAGCTACCTTCTCGTCTCCTGCAAGGCTGAACGTAGAAACAAATTTCAAGAGTGCTAGGGACATCCCTCATTTGGCTGAATTCCTGCTTCTGGTTGCAATACACAAGAACTGTGATGTTTCGTTGAATTTCGGTCGACAATTCAACATAATAGATGACCAGGAACAGATGGACGAGATGGTTGTTCCGTTGCTGAGGGCTAACAGCGTCATTGAGCTCACTGGACACGCCGGAATTAAAGCCATGAAGGCTCTAAAAACTGCCACTAAACTGCGGTCGATAAGCTTACGTATTTCTTCCATTGAGTGCCTGAAGGTTTTTGCGGAGTATCTTAAGCAATCATTCAAAAGCTTTCATTTCAATCAGATCTTGCATTTAGGGAAGAAAACATTCCTGGAGAACATCGAAGTATTCCTTGATCTCCAACCAAACTCCGTATCTCCCGAACTTCTACCTCAGCTCATCTTTTGTGTTAGGAGATCCGTTCTCAAATTCTGCGGAGTTTCTGACGAGGAAATCGATTGGTGCATGAAATGTCTACAAAAGCTCAACAACAAGTTTTCTTTCGTGGTATTCTTCCAATCACAAATCACTTTTTCTGGAATTAAAAGATTCTTGAGACGGAATTCAGATGCTTGTAAACACATGAAGGCCATCCTCGTACATTCGAGTTACAAGCCAAGCGAGTCTGAGAACAGCTTCCTTCACACTCACACCAGACCCATCATCAGATGGTGTAAGGTGTAGCACCTTGTAGGAATCTCCATCCCTTATTTGTATCGTACTAGAAGAATTTCATCAATTATTATTTAATTTAATTATTAGATGGGAAGGCCAAAATCACCATGAATTCAGAAGCAAAGAAAACGTCAAGATATGCTGAATCTTCTTGGTCCATTCTCTTTGTTTTTAATTCCTTGCAGTCCACGTCCAAATTGATAATAATATCGAACTAGATATATTCTCCCATGTATACCTAATTGCATTTTTTTCATCTAACACAGCTGCCAAGTTTTATGTTTAATCTCATTTTTTTTTCTTTATGTACGTGGTCTGTGACGAAATTTGCGAGGTGGCTAACTTTATAAAAGATTGTCTCTGAGGTATTCATTGCTGCATGCGATCACTGCGCTTGTAACACGTAGTTACATTTTTCCTTCTCGATTCATTTTTATGTAACAATTCTCTGCGCAATTGTTAGCCTGGGGCATCCTTTGATAATTATTTGAAGATCACTTTTAATTATAATTAACCAATATGAAAAAGGGCAACATAAGAAATCGTGTATAAAAATTTCAGTTCGAGCAGAAAAGTACCAAATGTAACTTTTTCCTAATGTCATTAATTTTAACTTATTGATAATATTACTTTTTAATAAACATAATATTGATTTCATTATCATTTTTGATAAAGGAACCTCCATGAATCTGAATGACGACACCACAAATGAATTCCAAACTCGTGTGATATTCAGTGTGCCGTTTATGATTTATTGAACGGTAGTTATTCTTCATTTTTAAATGATTAATTGAAGAGGCAATCCTTATTTCATGATTGATTATAAAATAGTCAAGCATTGAAGTGTGAAGAGATTTTATCCTTTGCTTTATGATCGGCAGGCGAAGTATGGTCTGTAATTCTCATTTATCCCATCGGTATACATTATATGCGACCTCTTGTGTCTGTAAAGGTATATATAGATTATGCGGCCCATGTGTCTGTAAAGTCTATGAACGCATAGATTATGCGGCCCTTGTGTCTGTAGTCTATGCACGTATAGATTATGCGGCCCTTGTGTCTGTAAAGTCTATGTACGTATAGATTATGCGGCCCTTGTGTCTGTAAAGTCTGTGTACGTATAGATTATTCGACCCTTGCGTCTGTAAAGTCTGTGTACGTATAGATTATTCGATCCTTGTGTCTGTAAAGTCTGTGCACGTATAGATTATGCGACCCTTGTGTCTGTAAAGTCTGTGCACGTATAGATTATTCGACCCTTGTGTCTGTAAAGTCTGTGTACGTATAGATTATTCGATCCTTGTGTCTGTAAAGTCTGTGCACGTATAGATTATGCGACCCTTGTGTCTGTAAAGTCTGTGCACGTATAGATTATGCGACCTTTGTGTCTGTAAAGTCTGTGCACGTATAGATTTTCTTTTTCTTTGTATAAAATTTCTCGCATTTTTTACGATTAATGATGTAGGAATGCCATAATCTTTATGCCTTCATGATAATTATGACAGGTAACAAATAAACTTTCGTCGAAATAATCATAATTAATATTCATTAATTATAAATTTTGTTGAAATTATGCTTGGCCAAAATCACCCATGTTACCAAATTAGTAACTGGTTATATGTTTTTAAGCTGTACTTAGTGCTAATTTGAAATAAAATTACAAATGTATGGTTTATATTGTTGATACATAGATACGTATTTTAATTTAGTGAATTTTAATTTGAAAATACAGTATGTCTATCCGCGCCATTCAGATAACAATGAAATTTTCATTATGGCCTTTCACAGAAAGCTATACCCATCCTTGCTACATAATATTAACAGCGAGCAATTAACCTCAATTAACAATTATTAATATGTAGACACAGTTTATAAAAGTTGATATACTTGTTACTAAATGTGTCGTCTTCTTCTTCTTATTCGTTTAAAAGTATCTACACTCTGATGGCCTTCAGTTTTAGATTATTTTTCTGCAATGAAGGCTGTGATTTATAGTTAAATGTATGTACATAGTACGTGTATTTATATTCCTTTACAATTTATACTTAAATTTAAATAATATATTTATATTCCGTTACAATTTAGCAACTCTAGAAACTCGTTGCCAGGCTCACGGTGTTGAACGTGTTGCATGCCGCCATCAGAGTCGCAAATTTGTTCTCTGGATTACGTACACGATTTTTTTTATCATGAAAAAGGTTGTCATGCTAAAATGAAAATGTTTTATTTACATTATATTGATGTACTGTATATATGTACCGTTGAATTCAGAGATTTAGAATACATGCATCATTTTATTCATTCTACTCTGCATCTTATTCTCTTTAATTTTAATATATTTAAATTCTTGTACAATTCTTTCTAACGCTAGGTACCGCTTAGGATACTTTTGTTGATCCCAGATCTTCCTCGATTCCTGAGAAACTATGCTAACTCTTTATATTGATCTATCATAGCTCGCTTAGAACTCGTATGTAACTCAATTTTTCTGTATGCATTAAAGGTTTATTCATACATTAAATAAATTATTTAATTTATAAACTCTTGTGTCGCTCGTTAAAAGTCATATTTCTTTGTCCATATACAATAAAAAATTTATTTATTGATTTGAAAGTTGATGTTGGGTCTATTTTCAAATTTGGGTTTGAATTCCATGGAATAAAATAGACTGATATGCAAGCATATGTAGGAAAAATTGATGAGAGTATCGTAAACAAGTTGTCATGGATATTTTTTATTAAAAAAATCCAGTAACAATTAAGTGTAATGCAATAAATTACGATCGACTTCTACTTTGTTTATTATTTTAATGCCGCGTCGCAGGATCAAAAGAAATAGCCTTAATTGCTAAAATTATAAACTGATTATTTGGTAAGTTATAAAAAAAAATGGAAATTATAAAATACGAAACATGCTTGCCAGGCGTTTATAGCGATATAAATACTTCGGGCACGTCAATCACTTCATATCGAATATACGGTTGATAATTATGACACTAATATGCTTTAATTGAAGAAAAAAAGAGCTTTACATAAGTTTTATAATTGGTTGAGATTTTCAAAATTTATTCGAATTTTGTCAAAAAAAAATTTCGACCTTCGTAATGGTTTTGAAATATCTCATGCTTATACTATTGAGGAAAATTTCCATGTCCAGCTAATATCCCGATACGATAAGTATTCTGGATTTGCCCCCAACTGCCCTTTTATAACTATGGCGCAGTCTTCAAACACTCCAACACTCACACTAACAAACTTCAACAAATATGTATAATATATTTAACGACGATTAACAAGACATTTCTACAGGGCTAGCAATTATAAGGGTACCCCCTCCAAAAATTCCATGCGCTGGCTTCTGCTGTTCAATGGCGAGGTTGACTATGGAACTCGTGATTAATAATAGTTGATTATTATTTAATTTTTCTCTATCAAAACGTAACCATGAAACTATTGCCCAAATTCGATGCTAGTGTGAAGCCCATGAAGCAAGTTCATAGAACAAAAAAACCACCAGCAGTTCATGAGCGATTTTGCAAGCTCATTAGTGGACATTTCGGCCATGACACGCCTGTGTTACGACCGTTGTCTCAAACTCATCTCCTTTGAACCATCGTTGCTGTGGCATGACTTTTTAACTGGTTAATTTATAGAGCGATATTCCTTTACTTATTTCTTTCTGAAATTTACCTTGATACTAAATAAAGAGGTTGAAAAAATATACGAGCAAAATGCCATTAATACACAAGGACACGTTCACAGGCATTTTCGTTTATAGATATTCCTGTTTTACCTTGGAGATATTTTCAACAATTTGAGCTTATCCAATCAGATTTGAATTCAATTATAAAAGGAATATAACGTAAATTTAACAATACTGTTATCTTCATTGCTGTCTGAAAAATGCCTCAGCCGAGGACAAAATTATATTTTTAGTTCCGTTAGAATTTAAATCCTGTTTATAATTTGTACACTTATATCTGTAAAAGGTTTTGGGAACAAATCAACCGAGTTTAAATTATCTTGACGCACAACTACAGAACTTTTTGTAATGTACAGAACAAATTTTAATATTTTTCCCTTACTTATTATGCAAAACCTCTCCATGGTTGCGAGTGGAAGTAACAATTACAATTACAGAATGGTAAGATAATAATTTTTACCAATCATGTACCTCCACTAAGTCTAAAAGGGCTGCAGGATAGCCAAACCTAACAACGTACTAACAGTGGTAGCTCTGAAATGCCTGTCAGATAATCTCAATTACCCATTAATTAGCTTTGGTAGCTCTCAAAGAACTGCAGTATTGGATGGTAATCGTAATTAACAGCTCCATGATGATTACCCCCCATAGTATCAGAATTCATAACCCCTCCTCCACCAGTTCCAGAGCTCTGCTGGCGTGGCGCTCCTCTGGCTCTGGAACTCTGCAAGTCAGGACCTGCTCTGTTTCTGTAACTCTGCTGCAAATCCCCTGCAGGAGTTTCCCCAGGACCTGGGTGTTCTTGCAGCATACGGGATTCCTCATGCGCCATGTCTAGCCCTCCTCCCCCCATGTTGGGGCCGAAGTCGGTGGGCGGGAAAGTTTCTTGGCGGGAGTCGAATGACCCGGCGACATCCATACTGCAAACAAACCCAATATAAAATTTTCTTCAAACAAAAAATATTCATTATTTAGTGTGGATTAATTTATAATTATAAGATAAACGGATTCTTATTTATGTTTGTTGAAATACTAGACCGTTGTCGAAATTGCCGTGTGTATTGTGGAAAATGAAATTAGTGTTCCAATTAATGGCAGGTTCATTGTGAGCGCTGTTCATTAAGTTGAGGCAAAAAATGCTTGAAATAAATTCATTTAATGTCTGGCAATAACGTTGTGGAAAAAAATTCAAATTTTCCAAGTACAATTGTAGATCGGTCTAGTGCCAGTTTCGAAATACAAGTTTTACTCATCAGGGAACGCTGCTTTAGGAATTGCAAAGTAATACAATTAGATACACCTTAAAATCCTCAAGCTTTATTTTCCAAACGAAACTGTTCGTCACTATGAATTTATTCGCCATCCCTTTATTGTGATTTTTAGGTTCGGTCAGTTTAATTCGTTGCCGAGGCCTTGACGACGGATGCATGTAGGAATGGTTCCAATGAATATATTCCTTCGTTTATATCGTGATCGTCACACGAGTTTTGAACACAAGTCCTACAAGTATGGACTTGGTGATGCATGCAATTCAGAGTAACAAGATTGGAGCAGTGAGTACTGGGTTCGATCCAAGCTACCTTTGATAGTTCTGGTCAAATCGGCGAGGTGGCTGGGCGGCTAAGCACAGCCAAATTAAAGCAGTAAGCCGCAGGTTTGACACCTTTGCCAAGCTTTGAAAATTCTGTGATGTTCAGAATAGGCAACAGGTCTATGAGCCTAATCAAGGTTGAGCCCTCTATACTATAATATATTACTCTAATATATTACTATAATAAGTCTAATATAATATAATATCACTATAATAAGACTCACCGCCTTACACCGCTAGGGACGGGCGCGGGTGGCCGACGTGTTCGGTTCTTCCTGAAGGGCGTGGGCCGCTCGAACGGCGGCGGCCGCTGGCCGGCGGTCGGCCGCTGGCTGGCGGTCGGCCGCTGGTGCGCGGGTAGGCGGGTGAACGGTCCGCCATTAGGGGGTGTGGAGGGGCTGGGGTTCTCTGAACATTCGTATAGGACTTTGTTCGTCTACAAACTGTGACGAATAACTTATATAACAACAAAACTTATTAACAAAATAAGCACTGTAGGAAGAAGCACACTTCTTTCTACACATTACCCTTTCTGAAGCATTACTACATTTTTCGACTAACAAAATTTTTCACTGAGTTGCTGAAAAATAATTTAATATCAATGTGAAATCTGCCAAATGTGAATTGTTAGGCGATTTGCGTCATACTGCATCCCACATGCACACAAAATTACTGTTGTCTATATTTTTTGTTGCAGACCTGAATCCATGAGTTTTGCAGTTATTCCAGTGTATTGTAACACTATACGTTAAAGCACTAAATATTAAAATTACGCGCTATGAATATAGCGATGAAATATTGTAACACGTTGCAGTTAAGGTGACGCTAAAGTTCAGTGTAGGAAATCACGCTAGGTTTAAAATGATGTTAAACTGAACCAATATTATAATCATCAAGATGCATGCAGTTTTTCTAAAATCGATGTCAATTAAACTAAGTAAAGTCATAGATTATTACTAATTAAGTACCAGAAGGCGGTGTGTGTGCGTTGACGTTGGTGTTGGGTAGCCTAACGTCCCTGGGGTGAGCGGGAGTTGTGACCACGCGCGTTGGGATGTTGAGGTCGTTGGAGGCGCGGGTCTCCAGCAGGAGGGAGTCTGGTGGTGGGCCCTGGCCCGGCTTATCTTGGCCCAGTGGGGGGAAGACGTACGAGTAACCTTGTATGTGGCATGTGCAGCTACTAGGTACCTGCGGGATAGGGAAGGATAACATATATTTAATATTTAATGAAAATATTTAAAAAAATTGAAGCATAAATAATGTTTATGGAAAACGAATGATAACGTAAAAAAAGTTTTTTTTTTTTTGCTAGGTTTGTATAGTAAATTAACGCACCTATCGCGCGCAGTCACAAAATAGTGTTGTTAAAATAGTGACACACTTTCTTATCCACAATACGAACAGAGGGCAGACGTAGCACTGCCGGGCCAAAATGGGTCAAAATGACCATTATAAGTGGAAAAAGTGTACCTTTTACTATTTTGCATACTTTTCCAATTTGGAGTAAGTTTCACATATTCCTCTGAGTATACCCGTATCACTTTCGTATTAACCATTATTGAGGAGCCCAAGAAAATGCAGCTTTCCAATCACACGTGAAACCTTAATTAGGGCGCTAATATATGATTTTTATATTATTTATTTATGATTTTTTATTTATTGTTTTATTGATTATTTATTGATTTTATTTGATTTTATTTATTGTATGATTTTTCACCATAAAAATATTTAGTTTATGATTATTTTATGAAATTTTACTTTGAAAATTTTTAGCTGTTATTTTTTATGAGATTTTTACCTTGAAAATTTTAAGTTTTTATTTATTTATGAGATTTTTACCTTGAAAATGTCCATGTGAAGTCCCCGTTTCTTCTCCCATGACAGCAGGCGCTGGTAGTTGTGCACCTGGTTGCAGGTAGCGCGGTAGTGGTGCGAGACATAGCTGCACGCGCCGCCTGGCTTGCTGCACGTGTAGTTTAAAATTTATTATATCGTTTATAAAAATTTACTTTGCATAAAAAATATATTTTTTTACTTTTCGGTTTATAAGAGATTTACTTCTTATAAACTATATATTATTTCTACTTATCGTTTATTGGAAACTTAATTCTTAGGTCAGAAATTTTCCTAGCTTTTTACTCATACGTCGGTAATCTTAGACTTAATGCCAATCTGATGTCGTTAATCTAATCTTAATGTTAATCTGATGATTCGGTGGACTTTGTTGTCCACACGATACTATTTTTTAGGTTTAATGTTTTTATATCTAGTAATATCATTCATGTTTGATGAACTGCACTTTGGAAAGTAGTTGTCATCCTGTGAAGGACTGAGGATTTGTCTTACTATAATCTTCCTATACGATAATAATCCTCAGGTCAAACGTTTTCTTTAACATTTTGATACACAAACACAAATGGGTATTTTACACAATATTGTAATTTGATAAATAACTTCTACTAATTTTTGATGCGGTGATGGAAATATCATTCAGTGTATCGATAGTGCCATATTCAACAAAATCGTACAGTTAGTTAGAAAAATCAAATTGGTATTACAAAAAATATTACAATTGATGGAATAAGTGTTTGAGTCAAGACACACACAAGACACTTCATTTGAATTTTTTTAGTGGTCTTTCGATTTCTGAGTGGGAGGTATGTATATATGCCCAAAATAACGGCAGCAACTGTTATTTTAAGTTTAGAAATCGATAATTGAAATACCTAAACATTAGGAATTATGTAAATAACTATTTTGCAATGAAAATTGAATTCTTCTGGTATACCCTTCTTAGTGTAATATGCTTGCTTTGATATGTACTTAAATTTTAAAGACTGAAAATATACATGAACAAAAATTTCACTTTATTTCGTTCGAGAGAATTTGAAACATAACGTGAAAATAAATTTAATAAAATAATATGCGTTTGAAAATTACTTTTTAAAGACAACACTTACGAAGAGGCCAGTGTCTCCGATGCTGTACATGTAAAATGAATTTCTTACTTTATTTTAAAATATTTAAAAATATATTTATTTTTAAATTGGTTTATATACATAATATTTTTTATTTTTAAAATGATTTATTCTGTACATTGATTCAAACATTGTCTTCGACTTTACGCAAGTGTGCAAAATTTCAAATCGATTGGACTGGTTGAAGTGTGTTAAATTTCGATTATAAGATTTGTAGCAGACAAGCAAACAAACAAACAATAATAAATTGAAGTGAAGTTAGAGACAAGTGTTGTAAAGAAATGGAAATATACTAAAACAATACGCACATGCACTTCTCCATGCGTATGGTCTGCGTATATTTCTCCATATTGACGACGAATTTCCACTCGCCCTTGCTGTTCCTGGCGCGCTTAGGCTTGGCGTACTTCACCTCAGAGGGGCAGAGGTAACCGCCTTCCCCGCCGAAGTCCCGATGCTCCTCAGCGCCTTGTCTCCTGTAAATAATAAGCTTCATTAGGGATCAAACTCTATAGGATAATTGCGTTGAAACAATGATAATTACGATGATTACAACGAGATCACGGTGCCTTGTCTTCTGTAAATCATAAGCTTCATTAGGCATCAAACTCTCCAGGATAAACACGTTAAAACAACGATGATTATAAGTTGATGTATTTTAAATAACGTTCAATTAACTTTAATAAGACAAGATTTACCTGTTGCCATTACCGAAGTAGTGGTATTATTTACCTGTTGCCATCACCGAAGTAGTGGGATTATTTACCTGTTGCCATCACCGAAGTAGTGGGATTATTTACCTGTTGCCATCACCGAAGTAGTGGGATTATTTACCTGTTGCCATCACCGAAGTAGTGGGATTATTTACCTGTTGCCATCACCGAAGTAGTGGGATTATTTACCTGTTGCCGTCGCCGAAGTAGTGAGTGTAGTCGTAGGTCTGCTCCTGACGAGCCGTGACGCCGTCCACGAGGTTGTCCGCGCTTTGGTTGCGGACTTCAGCGATCAGGACGTTGGTTCTGCCCTTGTCGCCCTCCAGGGCAGCCAGAATCTCGGTGCTGCCGAATACGATAGTTATAAGACGGACAAAATATTTTTTTTGTCATAATCCTAGGGTTCAATTGTTCATCGGTAAATATTTTTGGATGTTTTTCTTATTTGAGATTTGACAAGCTTCTAGGTTTTTTAGACACAAAACAAGGATGGAAGAGAAGTCTGTGTTTCAATTGGTGTATAAAATTGGTATAAACTCTTAAATTGGAGATAACACACACTTTTTCATGAATCGTGGAGTGGCCATTGCAAATGATTATTTGCTTACTGTGGATAGTTGTCAGCATCGAGACAAATGGTTTCTGTGTATTGCGTGCATTCGCTTTTCCGGTCCGGTTTGAAATTTCCCTCGGGTTTTGGCTTCTCGGAGTTGCCGAAATTTGTGAACCCTGTCGAGAGGGGCGTGCTCGGAGGAAACTGTTTCGGGCGAAAAGGTGGAGGTGGAAGTTTGGAGCCAGAAGATGAAGAAGGAAAGGGAGCGAACGGAGAAACATTATTAGTAGAAGTTTGTTCAGAATCTAAACTTGAGAATGAATTCGGAATGATAGTTTGGATATTGTGATCTATTTCGTAAATAACGGGACCGAAATCAGGCCCAAGAGAATTGTCAAATTCGTCTTCGATTGTGGGAAGATCTTGCAGCGGTCTCTGAGGTCGTAGCATCGGATTTACGATCGCGGTATCCCTAAGATCGAACACCTCGAAAGGTTTCTTCCTCGGCCTATGACTTGGATCAAAATGAGGGTTTTGTCCTCGGTCGAAAATAGTTTGGGGTCTCGGAACAAATTTTTGTTTTGGTGCGTTGCCAGCTCCATGAATTTGGAAGCCCATTGGCCTGCTTTCTTGTTGCCGGTGCCCTGCATTGGAATCTCCGGCATGTTCGTCCGGTCTTCCGGGCATCGGTGGGAAGATGATGCGGGCACGACTTGCCGGAAACGGAACCGGTTTTAAAATCCGCGGTCGACCTTCTACCTCTGTAATGAGAGTAATATTTCTCGCTAAATATAACAATAATATTTCTCAATATATATAACAATAATATTTCTCAACAAATACAACAATAATATTTCGCGATGAATATAACAATAATATTTCTCGGTAAATATAACAATAACATTTCTCAATAAATATAACAATAATATTTTTCGGTATTTTATCAACGCAAACTATAATATTTTATTTTCGATAATTCATTTTAACAGTTGCTAACATAAAATTTATTTTTCCGATAGCTATAATATTTTGGCAAATGGGAAAAAGTCAGTCTCATATTTGAAAATATTTAGAATTTTACGGACATCACTTCCACAAAAATGAACCAGATTAAGAAATAATTTCACATCAATTTGAATTAAAAATTAATTCTAAACATTTACATCAGTTAATATCAAATATTTCAGCTAATAAAATTTGAAACTTTTGCAGGCTTAAGGCATGACAAAAAGTTCATTTTATTCGCGTAAAAACTACACTGATTAATGAATTTCCCAATAATAAAGTAAAAGTTAATATTATCACAAACCTGAAGTGACGTAATCATTCTGTGGACGAGAAGAAAATATGTATTAAATCTTTGCAATCAATTTGATGATACAAAATTTTTTACCGCATAATTCTTGTACTATTTAATTTTTATGATCTGTTAGAAGCTAGAAGATGAATAACGATAGTTACGCGCATAAATATTTTCAAAATAATTTATTCAATCGTTTCGCACATTGAACTCAAAAGTATTTCCTTTTAATTATTCTTTAAAAGTTCAAAACATTTGAACTTTTAAATAACGCAGAACATAGAATTAAGGATTATATTGTTTCAAAACCATGGGGTTATTGAGTAGTTGTCAATTTGGAAAGAGGTTAAAAAGTTCACAGACAAATGAAAAGGTAAATTTAGTCAAAGAAAAATAAAAAGTAAGTAATAAATTAATTAAATTGGCAGAAGAACGTTACGTTAAAATAATAAGGTTACGCTGACGTTAATAAGAATAAGGTAACGCGTTATAATTTATAACAAGCATCAAATATTACAAAAAGCATCAAGTATTCTTATATGTTAACTACTTAATCTATTCCAAAAACTCACTCTTTTCTGTGCAAAAGTCGCCGGAAATCTTCTGATTGGTCCAGCTCCCTAAGCGAAACACCATTTAGAAATTGCAGTCGAATTTACACATAATATAAATTAAACTCTAGCAGACAATATTACTCAATATATCAACATAATATAGATAATGACTTGAATTCAAAGTTCAAGCTACCATCAAAAGTAGAGAGCTCATCGAGTGACAGTTTTGATTAATAATTCTAGGATAATTATTATATTAGATTTCAATAATTGCTAACCCAACAGCACCCAGGCTTACTCCCAGAGTTATTTATAAAAACATATAAAAAAGTTAAAATGTAAGTAAAAAATATATGTTTCTATTGTTTGCGAAATTTAATCAAAGACGAAAGACTAAATTTTGTACTTGGTTATGTTTTTATATTAGACAGAATATTTGCGTCTGATTGCTAGCTTTCAAGAGTGGTGAAGATCATATGGAGGATAAATTAAAATATTAAATGAATTCAATATGTGATAAGTTATGTGATATGTGATAGTAAAATGTGATAAATATGATATAGTAAAAGTTATCTAAAAGAAATTATTTCGTAGCATGAACTCAATTAAATGTGAGAATAATGTTACTCTTCATATTAGGCTACGTTTATAATTGCCTTTTCATCAAAATCTTTCAGTTTAATCGAAGAAAAACATAAACAAATAAATGTAAAAAATTACGTAGTAGTTTAAAGAATTACATTGAAGTTGAAAGAATTAATTAGATGTGTAAAGAATTACATAAAAACGTGAAGATCTGCACAGTAGTAGTGTAAAGAGTTTGAGAAAAGTGTAACAAATAGCATAGAAGTGAATAGAATTACTTAGAAGTGCATATAATTACATAGAAGTTTAAATAATTAGTCTAATAATAAAATAATTGTTTTCATTACTCACGGATCTCCGTCTTTGGCTTTGATGCTCAGACAGGAATGGACGCCGAGGCACGCGATCCTAATTGAGAATTGTAAAACTTTATTTTGAAAGACATTATTACATCATTAAGTAGTGAAGGTAAATCTTGAGGACCATGCGTAGCATTTTTTTCAATTCAAACTATCAGTTGTACATTTAAATAAAGACCAGATCAAGCAAAATCAGTTCCAAATACCGAAATTTCTATTCCAAAATTGATACGCCATACGACTGCTGAAAGTACAGGCCAAATTAATGTACGAAAATTAACAAAAAGTGATAACGAAACATGATATATAATAATTAATTACATAATAAACATAAACATTATTCAGAAACACCAACAAAGGGAACAGGCTGGCCCAAGAACGTCATGCCGATAGGACAACCTGGGACAATAAGTCTAATTTTTGACACCATACCTTACCTAATAAATTGTAATAAAAAACCTCACATAAAATGATACATTACACGATAAAATAAACACGAAAATAAACAGTAGCACCCAGCAAGGAGACAGGCTGGCCCAAGAAGGTCATACTTATAAGACAACCGCGGAGTACAGGTATAATTGCAGTGAACTTTACATTAAATAACAAAAAAGAATTACCAAAGCCTATATTTAACAAGAAATCACATAATAAAATACATATAAGCATCAACCAGCGGGACAGGCTGCCCCAAGAAGGTCATACTTACATATATGACAACCGTGTAGTACAGGTAAATAAATAACAATCGCAGAAGCCTATATTTAACAATAAATGTCATAATAAATTACATATAAGCACCAACCAGCGGGACAGGCTGGCCCAGGAAGGTCATAGTTATACGACAGCCACGTTGTACAAGTATGATTGCTGTACATTGTGCATTAAATAACAAAAAATAATTCTAAAAGCTTATATTTACCCATAAATGACATAATAAAATACATATAAGCACCCACCAGTGGGACAGGCTGGCCCAGGAAGGTCATGCCGATGAGTCTGTCCCGCAGGTCGGGACGGCGGCGCCGCTGGATGAGGGCCTCGGCGAGCGGCTGTGGCAGCGCCTCGGCCAACTCCTCCTCCGTGGCGTGCGTGGCGAGATCCAGCGTCATGCCAGTGATGTTGTAGCCTGTGTGATGGTGACTAGTTACTGTCCTTATTAGTGGTGAATAGTTAATGCCCGTGATGTTGTAGCCTGCGTGATGGTGACTAGTTACTGGTACTAGTGGTGACTAGTTACTGGCTTATTAGTGGTAACTAGTTACTGGCTTATTAGTGGTAACTAGTTACTATCCTGATAGTGGTAGCTAGTTACTGTCCTGATAGTGGTAACTAGTTAGTGCCCTGCTATTGGTAACTAGTTACGGTCCTGCTAGTGGTAACTAGTTACTGTCCTGCTAGTGGTAAGTAGTTACTGTCCTGCCAGTGGTAAGTAGTTACTGTCCTGCTAGCGGTAACTCGTTACTGTCCTGCTAGTGGTAAGTAGTTACTGTCCTGCTAGTGGTAACTCGTTACTGTCCTGCTAGTGGTAAGTAATTACTGTCCTGCTAGTGGTAAGTAGTTACTGTCCTGCTAGTGGTAAGTAGTTACTGTCCTGCTAGTGGTAACTAGTTACTGTCTTGCTGGTAGTAACTAGTTACTGTCCTGCTAGTGGTAAGTAGTTACTGTCCTGCTAGTGCTAACTAGTTACTGTCCTGCTGGCGTTGTAGCCTGCACAGAGTAACTAGCTACTACCCATATTGTAAGTCATAGTAATTATTTTAGTTGCAGAAATTATGAGAAGTGCCATTGGACCATAAGATGTGGGTGCGAACATCCACTCTGGGTATATTTCGACATTAAAATTATAAATAGGTTTACAATTTTAAATCCTAACTGCATCTTTCGAACAGTAATAGTCTTACTTTAAAATAGCAGCCCATTTATCAACTAAAATAATTAATAAATATAAATAAAGGTCATAAAGATCTTCAAAGACCCAGGGTGCCTTAATTAAAATTTCACTATCTTTTATTCAAGTCATCAACTGCTCCAAACAAAACGACATCCCCTACCGGCTTTCTGAGCAGCAATCCTCAGCTCCTCTGCAGGGGAGATGTCGTAAATTTCCCCCTCTTCCCCAACGAGGGCTTCAGCAATAGGCAGATCTTGGGGAGGCTCCGTCCCCGACCCCTCATCCGCCTCCGTCGCTTGATATTCCCCAGCTTCCCCAACCGCTGCTTCTGACTTCTGCTCTGACTCAGACATGGGGAGTTCTTCCCCGAGCCCCGTATTTGTCAGAGCTAACACTACAACCAGCACCTGTATACATAATTTAAAGTACTCTTTAAAAAATTGAATTACTCATAATTTAAATTAGACTCTGTGTAATACATGAAACTCTGTGTATAAAATAACTGAGAAATACGATGTATGAGATAAAATGAATCTTATCATGCTTCAAAATCATTTATATTAGAATTGTGTGAGATTTTTTGCACAATAATATCGTAAATCATTCACAATACCAAAGATCATTCTCTTCATACTTCATCTGTAATATTGACATGGCGTGTTTTTTGTATATGGTGAACTGTGTAAAGCGTCAAGAGGGTGCCTCATTGAAATAAAGTCATTAACTTATAATTATACATCATCGGTTCCGTGAAAATCTTCTATTATAGCTACAATGGGACACTTGAGCAAACTATAAAGTTGATCGTCTTATTAAAAATGCTTAATTAACGCTAATTGGAAATAAATCATCTATCAATTTTGACATAAATGTATACAGATTTAATCTTAATGGGTCAAATGAATTTAATGCGAGCAGATCTCTGGAATTTTTAATGGGCTTTTGGATTTCACTTGATGTATAATTACTTAACTTGTTCTATCGAGAAATTTAATTAACAGTTTACTGATTACTCTTACCGGAAGGAAGAGCATGACTGCGGAGTTGAAGCTTCTATTTGAAGACTAACTTCACTGCCTCATTGCCTGTAACAAACCGCATAAATTAAATATATTTTCTTAGTACTGTTTATTATATGGTTTATAAAGTATGTTGATTTTTGACTTTTTGTTCTCGTAACTGTGTTTGATTCCTGGTGCATATAGGAGTAATAGACACAAATTAGGCCTATAAATAGACATAAATACAAATAGATATAGACATAAATTAGTCCTGTGAATAGACATAAATATAATCAGACGTAGACGTAAATTAGGCCTGCAACATTTATTTTTTTGTAAAGGTATATAACTGTAAATAAAATGACTGTGACTGTATATAAAATCTTGGATCGATGAGTTTGAAGTCATTTAAATCAAATCTTGTATGAAACTAAAAAATTTAATTTTAAATATATTTCATATCAATAGAAAATGATGTGAAATCTACAGTCGCATCATTCTACATAGAAATTTAAAACGTTATTTATGCTTGAGCTAAGCGCTTCTTTAATATCATGTCAATATTTTTCAATTTCTTTACTATAAATTTGCGTTCTATTTGCCAAGATTTATTTTTATTTATTTATTTTATTTGCTAAACAGGATTGTAAAATTTTTGATAATTTAGTTGCAGTTTGGTTGTCATAAACGACGCGACATAAGCTTACGTAATTACTTAATTTTTATTGTTGTATTAATTTAAATTGTATATGATTGCTAAATTGCAAATTTAAAGTTTCATCGGATGAAAACGAAAATTTATATTAATGTCAGTTCTTTGTGGTTTAACGCCCACATATATCTTTAATGTGCAAGATGATTTATTGATAAAATGAACGCTATGTAGAAAAACGCAAGCGCTCATCATGGAGGCTGAATATGCAAAGGCTTTACCTAACAAGAATTCATTCAAAAATAAAGATTTATAAAACACAATCTCTCAATATTTCACAGTCACAATATCGACAAAAATAATGAAACCTGTACACTATACGTCAAAGAGAAAAATAAATCTTGACAAATTAATGCTTGATGGATTATTTAATGCCTAATTTTGGAGAGTGAAAATTGATTAAGATTCTCTGAGATACAATTTTGATGTTATCGGGTCGCATGCAAGTACCGCAAGGTTGTAATTTTCTAACTATTATAAAAGACAATCAAAACATTTATTACTACGGCTGAATCAACTTGAAGTAGAATACGCTTCGAAAAACATGACATTGTTTCTCATGTTATTGTGAGGGCTCGCTTTCAAAATGAAAATAAAGCCCCACAACGCGTATATAAAGTCAAAATAGTTCAAATTCCGTATTCAATAAACCCAGGCGCGCAAACGTTTACCTCTAAAGAATGCTAAGTCATTTAATCCAAGCACGTGTAAATTTGCCCTCATAAAAAACACAAAGTCATTGGAGCAGAAGCACGTACGAGTTTCCCATGTGTTGTTTCAACAGCTCGAGTATTTTCGTACTGAGCAAATTTGCCGGAATTTAAATAAGGAAAAATACGATGAAGAGTCAGCTGCCGCCACAGCGGTGGGCTGGAAGTGGGTCAGGTTTCTTTAAGTGCGTCATCTGCCATAACGGAGGTGCCTGCACTGGTGCTGCAGTGGTGCTGCACTGGTGCTGCACTGGTGCTGCAGTGGTAGTGTTGGTGCTGCAGTGGTGCTGCTGGTGCTGCAGTGGTGCTGCTGGTGCTACAGTACAGTGGTGCTGCTGGTGCCAGAGTGGTACAGCTGGTGCAGCTGGTGCTACTGGCGCTGCAGGGGTGCGGTTGGTGCTGCAGTGGTGCTGTTGCTACTGCCGGTTGTGCAGTGGTGCTGTTGCTTTTGCCGATATGCAGTGGTGCTGCAATCTTTTTCCGTCTTGCTTGAAAAAAAAAACGTAGTTGACATTTTTGCGGCGCGAGCACTTTCCAGGTGATTGCTGTAACGGTTATTAGGGCTTCCATACATCTGCTGTTATTGCGGCTTGTGTTACAGATACCCTTGCTGCCGGTTCTGCAGCTGCTGCTGTAAGAGATACATCTGCTGCCAAGTAATATCCTGCATCTGCCAAGCTCAATTCTGAAAGGGATCGTCAATCACGAAGAGATCAAAACGTGGTCATTGAAACACATTGAACCTTGGGAAAACGAATAAATATGCATATGAGGCAGGGGTGGACAAAATACGGGGATAAACGATATCCCCGTATTTGTAATTATGTTTTCCTGGTATACGGGGAATTTACACCTGACATCTTGATTTCCTAATTTTTGTGACATGTTATAAACAATGAAAACGTGATATTTTTTACGTTTTATTGTTTATTCTGAAGTTCTATTGTTTATTCTGATCTTTATTGCTGCTGATTGATATTTTATCCTTGCACAGATATTTGTAGAAAATTTTTGTGTCTATAACCTAACCTATAACCTATAAATGGCAAACCTTTCTGACTTTCAAAGAGACCAAATTGTTAGTTTCCCGTATAGCAGGTGCTAGTATGACAGAAACTTCCCGAATGCTTGACGTTTCTAGAGGTGCTGCCTCAAAAGTAATGACTGCTTTTGAAAGAGAAGGAAAAGCACAGGTGTAGCCGAAAGTCGAAGTTGTCTGAGAGAGACCGTCGGTACCTAAATTGAATTGTGAGGGACAATCGAAAGACCACGACTGTTATAATTACTGCAGACATCAATGGACACCTACAGAACCCATGCAGCTTCCATAAAGACTGTCCGCCGAGAGCTGTACAGATCTAGATTCTATGGAAGAGCTGATATTATTATTGAATAAACTCACTCGCACTTGCTAATTGTGACTCCTTCGGCATGTTAATGTTTACTAAAACTTGTTTGGAGAAGGATATATGAAATAATATACTTTTTTTAAATTATTAGCGCTAATTTCGTGATATTTGATACCTCATACTTCATCGTCCTGACGCTATCACCAATGAGAAAACTGAACTGTGCTCGTATCATAGGTCGATCAGTTCAAATATGAATGACTTTCAGTGACCGTTATACGCTATCTAGTTTCGCAGAAGTGCAGCACTCTACGGAAACAATGAATATTCCTACACACCGGCAAAAGGAGTAGCGATGGTTCATAGCGCTAATGCATGTATGTACAATAACTCCTGAACATATCTATGTATCTATCTAACGTATCTGTATCTGATTTCCAGCTAGAATCATTTGAGCGTATATTAAGTGTTATAGTTCTTTCCCCATAGTTTTCACTTCTATCATAGTTGACAATTTATGTTCACAGGTTTTCACATAATCTACGCTTATAATTTCGATTGATCATCGACGCTCCACCGATGGCCACCTGACGCTCGCTGAAAGTAATAATGAGCGGACAATTGACGGCGGATGTATGGATAATTAATAGATCTTCACGAATATCAGAGGCGTAAGTCTTCGTTGAAAATGTGAAAGCATCTTCGTATGTCAGTGTTTGGTTATCAGCCGATCCATCGACTGTCTTTGTGCGGCGGAATTTGTGTCAAGACTAGAGCCTTGCATTGCTTCCCGCGGGCTAAACGAGCCCCATTTCGAACCCACGACGGCAGGCGAGGGTAGGTTATGTAGGCTATGTAGGTTATGTAGGTTATGAGCGAGACAAGAACAAAGAACATGTCACTCGGGGCTCAGGAAAGAGTGGGCTAGAAGGAGAAAGCCGAAGAAGACAGATACCTTTACGGCCTAGAAGTGAACTAAAAGCTGGAATTAATGAAGGGATAGTGACACTAAGCTAAAATTTGAATCTCGTTCAAGATCAGTGGGTAGATATTGATGTCATTATGCCATTAGATTGTTAAATAATAAGTTCACAGATATGATTAAGTTATAATTGTGAGCAAATTTGACAGCGAAATTGACAACAGTTGAACATTTTTTAAATAGAGTTTCACGAATACTCCGAAGATAGACCGGTGAAGAATTATTATTACCACACTCTAAGGTGTGATAAAAAATGTAATTGATGACGACAGTTGAGATACAGCGGTTCTATTCAAAAATTTTTGTATATTTTCAAACGATCTGGATTTTATAAAGTTCAAAACTCGTTAATTATCATGATTTTATAAAATCAATGAAATACGACGGCTTTGTTTGTACCGGCTATGCCACATTATCGATTAACCATTGCTCACAAGTTACAAATGTTGATTGAAAAATTCATAAAAAAGTATCGGCTAACCATTGCTCATACTGAGGTCATATGTTCGTACTGTGGAGAAATGAAAATTACTGCCATTCAGAAGAAGTATGGCAACAATTTACTGCCATGCTCCTTCACTGCCGTACAGAAGTGCGGCAGTAATTTTATTTCACTTATTATTGAGATGTTCGTGATGAAGCATCGAAAGCTGCTGATTGATTGCAAGATCTCATCGTCGATCTCTCGCTGGACAGACGCCGCAAATTGATCTGGGAATCGGTAAATCTTTCAGTCAAGAACATTGTTTCAGAAATTATTAAATCTTTTAGTCAAGATCATTGTTTTAGAAATCAGTGAAGCTCTCAGTCGAAAACATTGTTTTGGAAATCAGTTATGCTCTCAGTCAAGAGTCACTTATAGAAATCAGTGAAGCTCTCAGTCAAGAGCCATTCTTAGAAATCAGTGATGCTCTCAGTCAAGAGCTATTTTTAGAAGTCAGTGAAGCTCTCAGTCAAGAGCATTTTTTAGAAAAAAAATGCTCTTGGAAGAGGCTTTCAGTCATACGCAAAGTTTTAGAAATCAGTGAAATTCTCAGTCAGAAGCATTGTTTCAAGTATTGGTGAATCTCTCAGCCAAGAGATTTGTGCCAGAAGTCAGTGTAGCTTTCAGTCAAAAGCGTTGCTTCAGAAATCAGTGAAGATGTCAGTCATGTACATTATTTTAAAAAACAGTTGATCTCTCAGTCAGTTAATTTCATTGTTATAAAAATCAGTTGAGCTATTCCAGAGCGTATGCTATTATGTTATCCTCTGTAACTTTCATTGGGAATGAAAAATATTTTGAACAATTCTAAGGATTTTGTTATTAACCAATCGCAATGTGTGATGCA